AGCCACCATAGGATCCTGCAGTGAAACTGCTGAATTAGGCTAGCTCCTTTGGCCTCAGAATTGGCAGTTACATTTCTGCTGCTGCTGTTGGCTGCGCAATGCAATGTTGCAGTGTACAATCACAATTACTGATGACTATTTCTCCTCTGGTGTCCTAGTATATGCAATGTCTATTAATGTAATGCGTCTTAATGCATACTGCATGATCCCAATGCTTTATTATAATAGAACTTATGTGCGTTGTTTATGGTTTTGATGTTTTCATTATTTCATTATCTATGGTAATATTTCTTGTACGCATTTTTCATGATTTTTAATGTATTTTGAAGTATCACTGTGCACTGTAAGTGGCAATAAACCAGTAATAATAATCATGCACAGTGACAGCTCTTGCATTTGAATTGGTGGTTTCCAGCACTACAGCATCACTACCATATACAGTATCCACATCTACATGTACAAAAACCTGTTTTTTTAAGTCCTGAAGTACCGGAAGGAAAAATCATTTCAAAATACGATACAGTGTATGTGATTTTTGAAGCTTGCTCCGTAAACTACCAAGAACCAACAAACCTTTTCGGCATCTGAGATTTCCTCTCCCCAACCTTCATCATCTCTCTGCCCTGGGTCAGTGTCCGTGTATGCTTCAAAAATCTGAGGACCACATGGAACAATAATACTTGGTCAGACAAGGTTTTACTCTTATATTTCGAATTTGAAATGTGTGAGCGTGCATTCTGACTGAGCCAGTAAACCAAATAATGAGCTACATGCCTGTAGCTTAGGGGCAAAGTTTACCCTAAAATTGTTAATTTTTCATAAAACTCTGTCCCCTAAATTCCCCCCGACGCACATGTTAAGTCCAAATTTCTAAATGAATGAGTCAGGATTCAACTATATCAACAAGCAGATACTGGAAAACTACATGGGTTCACCTTGACCAATGAAGGACAAACCCCTACATTACTATTTGGATACATGAGAGGGGCCAGTGAAGCCCCTTTCACACAGAGGCTGCGGCGTGCTTTGTGAACATTGACAATGAGCAGAAAGTTTAATTTCTTGATTGGTGCGGGGAGTTGCGGAGTGATACGGAAGCGATGCAGGCTGTCGCAGAAGTCTTTAAGCCAGCCGCTGATTGCAACCAAATTTTTCAAAATCTGAAGGAAAAAAACATGACTGCCGGTAAAATGACTCCAGGGCAGGTGAAGGTCGGTGCAGATCGGTGCAGTGCGTCCTGCCGGCGACCGCCGGCTTAAATTAGCTACCGCAACGCTTACTAAGCCATGCATGTACAATTTTTCTTGTGGTGAGGCTACAACAGGTTTGCCAGCTGTCTACTGCAGATAAGCCAGCAGGTTGTTGGTGGTGGTTCTACATTTATGTCACGCATGATGGCTGTGAAGGAGCAACGGGCTACAACGGGGCTGTAGTCAACACTAATGAAGGGGAATGCTGCGGCGGCAGACCTGGGCCAGGTCAGCCCTGGGTAGGGCCTGCAGGCTTGTTACAGGTGCTAGGCTGTCAGGTTGCACGATCAACGCAGGATCACAGCTTTTTGATAACCACGAAAAAGACATGAAAGGGGGGGGGAATTTCAGGGTAAAAATCATGAAATTTCTGGGTATAAAAGCCACCCTGGAGCTGAATGCAGGGTTACAGCCAGTCATCCACTATTTTACCAACAACTTCCGAAGACTAAACTCTTTTATTCTTTTAATTGTTCCAACAGTTCTGCAAATTTCTTCAAGGTTTACCTGTGCTTGGCCCCCAACTCAATATCAGCTCTGTGTGACAGGGGCTCAGAGAAAAATTGGGCATCTTCATCCATCGGATGAGATGTCACACAAATCAGAGAGATCTGCTTTAAATTGTAATACAATACACAACCTTGGTTGCAAAATCACAAGCTTGACTGTACATCATTGAGCCCGTACCTGATCATCAAATTCTATTTCACTGTCCCTCATTGGAAACAACAGGATGGGTTCCCTGCCTTCTGCACTGACACTGGACTGCACAATACCTCCCTGACCATCTTGCTTATGCTGTTTAGAACCTACGGGGAATAACCACCCAAAAAGTTGGAATATTATTTTGGCCTTCATGCAACAGAACATGCACGAAGCCTTTCCATTTTGAAATTCAGAAGCAATACATCGACATTTACATACATGTACGAAGAACCCATTCTGCGAAGAAATCGTTTCTTCAGTTAGCTATGGCTATCAATTGGTATTATAAAAATTCTCACATCTGATAAACAGCTAAAATGTTTGGTACTGGTGAAAATGGAAGTCTCTGCAACTTTGGATGGGGGTACAGGAATGAAACAATGCATCACTTCTGCTTTGACTCAGATTCCATAGGCATTTTATTAGAAAACTTACAGGAACTTCAAAGGTCTTTCCAAACCCTGCAAAGAGCTCTTAAATTTCAGTCAATCTAACAGACAAGACTCGACTCTCCCCTAACTCATCATCAAGTCTATCTCCTCCCTCACATGCTAAATATTCACACTTTGTGAACAGGGGAAATCCCTTTCTGGGTCATTCTATAAATTTGGGGTCCAATTTTTTTGTGTCCCTTTCACATCTGACGTATGATTTGGTAAGTTGAGAACACTTTCTCTAATTTTTGAGACTGATGAATTAATGCAAATTACCTGCCAAACAAAGAAAAATAGTTTGAAATCAATTTCAGTGATAGTTTCATGTCAAATTACATGGGTCAGGTGTAAAAGGGACAACAAAATGTCACACTTTTGGACCCTGAATTTATAGAATGACCCTTCTATGCAACGTTGGTCCATTCCTGAAAAAATGGATGCTCTTACTGAGGTCTTTATGGCTCATCTTCTCCAGTGACGATGCAGCCTCTTGCAGACAGTCTTGGGATGCAGTCAATTCCCTCCGGACGGAATCCAACATCTCGCACATCAAGGCACCGACATCATCCTCCCCACCAGCCAGCTGGCGGTCAACCCCCTCAAGAGCCTCCTCAACAGTTATCACCCTGGGACAAATTCCAACAAGGCCCAACCAATTCTCAGTCTTTATTTTGTGATTGATTTCCAACCTCAAGTTTATGCTTTGGAGAAGTGGCGGGGGTGGAAAAGAGATAATTAACCCATTGCCTTCTGAGAGTTGAACCATCAATGTCTTCCTATAAACATCGCAACAGTTGCAAGGGGCCGTGCTGAACATAGAACGGCACAACAGCTGTCTGACACAAGAGCGGCACTGTGTTAGCACACGAGAGCAAGAACCACGTTTGTTGAACCTAGAAACCAACTGTCTGCAACCACTGTACTAGCAATCTACAGTACACTGCAACGTGCCAGTTTGGTAGTCCAGCAGTACAGGCCTGATATGAAGCACGTCGGAGGTCATTCAGATGTGTGTGGGAGTGTGCCCTATCAGCAAGGCCCTTGTTGGACTCGCGCGTGCTTTGTTCCCGTATGACCTTGCTTTTTTTTTTAAATATTGAACTAGCTCATTGAAAGTTAACCTGGGAATGGAAAATTTTCGTCCAAGGTAATTCCTCTTCATTTCACAAACCACGGAAAACTTCTCTCACAGTGGAAAAAGGATTCTACAGGTTTTAACACAAGTGGGAAATGATTTTTACAGATTTTCAAGAAGTGAGAATAGTTTTTCACAGATTTTCCCACAAGAGGGAAAAGATTTTCACACACGTGGGAGGTGAATTTTTACAGATTTTCACATGAGGAAAAGATTTTCACTAACTTGGGAGAAGATTTTCACAGATTTTCCCTACATGAGAAAAGATTTTCACAGATTATCCCTCAAGTGGGAAAACATTTTCAGCCTTTTGACACAGGTGGGGAATTATTTTCACATCTTGTGAAAGGTGAGTGTGAATGTGAAAGTGAATTCTTTTCACAAAATTTCCCATTCCAATTCTCAGTCTGGACTTTCAATTGCAATGAACTGTACATGCGCATGTACCTCTTGAGTGATCAAGCCTGATAAAGGCAACTGCCCAAACTATCAATGCCATTGATCATGGGGCTCGAGTCACAGGGGGAATGACATATCAGTGTGCCCCAAGATTTGACTAGCAGATGATTCACATGAAATTAAGTTTGCTGCAAACTCTCAAAAGTAAATGCTTAAGTTAGAATTGAATATGAAATTTGTTACTGTATGGTTACCATTCAAATTTTACGAACAAATTTTCTACCTGTTTAGTGTTGCCTCCAGGTGAAGTCGTAAGCTTCTCACAGCACAGCCAACCCTCTGCATCTCGTCATCGCCCTGGGAGGGCCTCTCTCCAGGGGTCTGATATCTGTTGCGGTCGGGCCTCTGCCTATGACAATCATAGCTTCGTTGCAGTTTTCCAAGTGCTGTCTCACATGATGCACTGACCTTGCGGACAATGCCAGACCACGAGTTCAGAAAATTTGCTGTTTTGGAACATGAAACCAAAAATAAAGATATAAACCTTGCAAACGAAGGAAAAGCATTACAAAGCTATAATTTTGAATCTCTTGAATTTTGAATTTGGTAGTAGAGCACTGCTCTAATAGCCTAGTAAGAGTATGACTCGGCCTATTCAAAATGAGCCACAAATTTCCAGTGTGTGCTAAAATCTCCCAGTACTATGATTGCAGTGTCTTGAAGCATGATCATGAGCACTCTTGGCATCAGTCAACCAGCCCAAAGACAAGTCTTAGTTATCGTGTAAGATGTTGAAATGGACTACGACAGGGGTGTTCCTTTCTACTTTCATCCTCAGTCAAAAGTGAACAGATTTTCAATTAAACTTGTGAGGGACTTAACATTAACAACTCTGCTGATGATTGACCTGTTGTCTTTGGCTCCAGCCTTGCATCAGAGCATGTGCACAGGACCAGCCTGCGAATGAACTCTGACCTCTGCTCCAGGAACAAACTGTTCATTGTCTATAATTAGAACAACAAAAACAATTGATTGAATTGTCTGTAAGTGATCATTTCCACACATAAAAATGTCATCAGTACCAAAACATTGGGATACATAAATGTGACTTTTGTGAATGTGAGTTTTATTTCTTTTGATGTCTTGAATGTTGACTTGACAGGATACATCTATATGTTTCTGTTAACTGGTATTTTTTACCAATTGTAAAAATTTTAATACCCAAGTATACATGTATGTTGTGGAAAAAATCCTTCCCTTAAAACTAAGATTCACAGAATTTAATTATCAGTAAATCATTTGAAAAATTCAACTCTAACCCTCCCAAGTAACTTGGAGAGAAAACCTTCCCAAGCTGTCAAAAGCTGTGTTACCATTGGAATTTCTCTTCTATGCCACTGTGGAAACTTATGGCAACTGCTTGGTAGTCATTCCTTTGTGTAAAACACCTGTGCATTCCCACTCATTCCAACTTAAAACATTAATTCTCTGTGCTGGATTGGGTTACAGTGACAACATCTGAAGCGTATCTTTGAGCACTTACAATTGTACGCTACCATGCTGTATAAGTGGTTATGCAACCCACATTTCCTCGATTTCCTTTGTTTTTAATTGCATAAAACCCGGGCATGTTTCTCACCATTTCAATTAAATCTGCCATAATATTCCTGATGCAGAGGACCGCACCGCCTTGACAGAATTTTACACATTGTCACACTGGCCATGAAAAAATAGCAGTACGTGCACTGTATTGAACACACAAATGGACCAGAGATCCTTCTTCACACACGGCACTTTACAGTGCATTCATAGAAGTTTCCTGTTCCAATTGGTTTAATGAGGGCCCATAACACTACCAACCAGGGATGTCCAATTCTGGGCGTTCTGATATTTATAGTTCTTCCGCTCAGCCACGCTAGTTTTACACAAAAAAGTTCAACGGGAAAACAGCTCCAGTGAACAAGTCTGCTCAGTCATGTCAGTTTAACTAATCCAACATGTCAGCTATCCCAATGCCACACAGCCTCCAAGTCCCATTCTGGTAGCCAGCATGGGATCAAATAGGACAAGCTCGCTACGTTGCACAGTCAATGCTTAGTCCTATTACCTGCCAGAAAAGTAAACACCAATCACCAACCTTCAGGGCAGCCAAGGAGAAAAAGCCGGTGAGCTCTTCAAGGGAGTTGTAACCATTCTCAGTATCATCAGTCATCTACATGTACAACAGCAAAGTTGAAAAAACGGACAAAATCTGTAACTTATTGTGCACATCACGGCTAGCCTTGCAGACAAAATAAGTGTTTGCCTACAATCTTCACAAACTCCACAAACAACTCTTTGGGGGTCACACACCACTGATATGCGGCTGACCAGTTTTCACAAGAAAGTAGTCTCCGCATGAGTTCTGCATGCCAAAATGAAACAGTCGCTCATCAGCCTCTTTTTACTTTGCATGTGACGGTGTGTCCTCACAGAGCAGGCTACGATGTGTAATTCAATTGGTGAAAGTTAAATGAAATTAAAAGGTCACAGACTTCCTTGGATTGGGTGGTGGGAATATGAAAATATGTCCACAAGCTTTAATTAGAAACAGGCAAGCAACTGAATCAAAATTTTGGTTGACACCAACCTACATCATGCATCACTGCTTTTAAAATTTGTCTACTTCAGAAAATAAGCAGATTTGAAGCTAACTTTTTGGGTCATTTCAATTGAAACCTGTGTATGAGTTTCATGATATTGGTATTTTTGGCATCAGTGGAACAAGCCTCATTCACCGAATCCATGGAGGCAAGTTAAAGAACAAATTGAGGCTCTGTAATACCACAAACGATTAAGATAACAAAATGTACAGTAACAATGGGCAATATTGAAATTTTGCACAATCAACAGAGGGCAGTATCATCAGTGCCTAGCTTCTCTGTCGACTTACCACATTTATCCACGGAGTGGTCTCCTCCAGCCTAACCATAGCCAGGTAGTTACTGACGTGGTCAATCTCTGCCACTAGAGGGAGCTCTTCCATGACCTCTAGAGTGGCATCCCGGAGGGTGCTGAACTGAGCTCTTGCAACAGAGAAGCAGACTTCCCTGAGAGCCACGCACTGACGGTTTGGTCGAGTGGTTACTGCCCTTTCAAGACGGACAACAGGCGTGTAAGGGCTCACCCTGAAAGAAATTTTTAAAAGAAAAAGATTTTTTTTAATGCAATCACAAAAATGATAGCAGTTGCCACGCTGAATTACCTGAAATCTATAAAAGGGCTTATTAACCAAAACCTTAAGTGCAAGTATAACTTAACTGTCACAAATCTCACTTCAAAGTTTGTGCACTTAAACTGGTTTGTACAGGATTTGGTCAGTGCAGTGCCTAAAAACAGGTGTTGAGAATTTAAACATACCATTGATAAAAAACTGATCAGTCATGTTCAAGCTGGCCTAGCGACAGAAACCTTGTGCAGGTGTTGTCTGTTATGACCTCAGTTTAGTCACTGTAACCCTTCTTGCTTCTCTCCACCCAGGTGTATAACCGGGTATTTTTTCCCTTGAGGGCAGGGATGGTTAGGGTGCTTGATTAATTAGCACCTAATTAGCTCCTGAATAGCCACCACAAGTAATTCCACAGGAAGCTGCTTTGGGGAAGGCTTATGGGCCCAGCAAGCATAGGGAACCGGAATAATGATAACAGTGTGCACTTTGGGCATTAGTGTGCTGGTGGATACATGTACATGCTTTGTAAATACATGTGCAAATCATTATGCGAGGGCCCAGCTTCCCTGTTCTAGCCAACAGATACCACCCACAAACAATTGCTCCCACAATTAGCCGAGGTCTTACCCTTGAGCCTACTCTCCAAATACTGGTCTTTTCTTTGATGTATACATGTGCATGTACACTGTACGTGTACACGTAAGTACCCTTGGGACATTTTAGACTTGCACCAAAAAGGAATTGATAAAAAAAATGGCCCTTGTCATTACCATTGATTCAAGCAGTGAATATCTGTCAAAACTCCCCCAAGCTAATTTATGAGCAACATAATTTGTATGTACTGGTACAGTAGGGAGGAAGGCTGCAATAGTGGTTTGTATTTTACTTACATGGTGAATCCTCTTGATATAACCTCCACCTCTTGAATATATCGAATACTCTTTTTCAATAACACCCCCTGCTGATTCAACAGCTTCAGGCACTGCTCAAAGCATTTCATGCTGTTTCTATGCAAACTCCTCTGGCTGTTGGAAATCCAGCAGGTTCGTGCCGAGTGAAATACATAGGCGGCACAGGACAGCAGCAAGGCAAAGCAGAGGATGGCGCATGTGTAGGAAAAGTTACGATCCAAGACATCCTGAAAAAGTACAGCTAAGGCAGCACACAGGACAGCCAGAGTACTGACGAGATAAAAACAGAAGTAGCTCTGTATTATTTATAATGTCAGTGATTAGTCTGTTTACATGAATCAATACAGTTAACCCCTTGACGACGGGAATTTCTTTCTGAAAGCCGACTCCAAGAATTCCAGCCTCGCTTGGCCACGGAGACCATTGTTTTGCTCGTGTGGTCAAAAAAGGTGCAAACAACCTGCCAAGTATTGTAGTGTCTCAATCCTTCACTTGCTACAAGATTGAGGACCTTTAGGTTTTAGTCTGGGTGTGGTTGAAGTCACTTTCAGGTAGAAGCCGGCTGCTTGCATGCACAAACGAGTGCAACCACATGTCCTCACAACTCAGTGACAAGTCATCCACTCTCTACAGAGCATCTTGGCCACTGTTATCCCCAGTGACATGTAACTGACTTGTGGCCGACCTGACCACAATTCTGAAATCAACGGACACATCTATAAGCCTTACCACCCAACATGGGCATGCTTCCGTACCACAGGCTGCAGGTGGGCAGGGGACAGGTGTGTGCTATCCTGACTCTTCTTGAGGCGGTATGCTTGAACGATCTGCTGGTCTGCATCCACGAGGAGCTGGCTGTCTAATGCCAGTGACGAATACTGTGGCAAGAACTCCTTGTCCTGGGGATGGGTAGAGAAAATTAAGAGTCATACAAACCATGAACTGATTCATTATTGATGCGATGCAACCTTGATCAGCTATTAGTTATTACACTCATCCTGCAATGTGGCCATCAATGCTTCCTAAATATGATTAACCCTGAATGTACTGGGTACTAATGTCCTACCACTGTTCAGATCTGTAAGACTCACTTCCATTAAGCAGGCAATAAATTTGCAAAGACAGTCCAGTCCATTAAGTCCCATCCCAGTGTTTTTACGAATCACAGGTGTATCCAACAGATATACTCAAACAGACGGCACGCATGCAAGCGTGTCAGACAATAGGTGGCTAAAGGGACCAGGGTGGTATTGGAGAGGAATACTTCTCCTTTGCCCACATGGGCAGTGAGTGGGGCTTACTGTTCTAAGGTAGGTTTCCGGTCGTTGGAGATTTTGAGATTTAATGCATGCTAGCCAAATTTCCAGACGACACTGTTCACTGCCATACTGCCCATTCCTAATGATGCAACTGCTCAATATCCAACCACAGCAGTATGTGCTTACCACATTTAGAATGCAGGTAGAAACTGGTGGAAACATCCATTGAAAAGCTTGGTGTACTGACCCCTGAAATAGACAAAGAACACATCAATGATTCACAACAATTCACTCAATCAATATGTATGGCATAGGTACAAAGTACTCATATATATGAATGCAAACTGCCAGAATACATAAGAACGTGCATACATCCTGCATCATGTTGTAGGGATATGAGTTTTAGTAGCTGTCTAGTTGAAGTAACAGTAATTCATTCATAGAGGTCATGAATATTCAGTGGCTATTTGTTTCAGTGTACTTGCTATTACAACTACTGGGTTCTTTTTGAATAGTCTCAAATATTGTGCAAGAGTTGGACTTTCTACTTACCTCATTAGTGAAATTTTTAGGTAAGATTACTTTTGTCACTATTATCTGAATAATTTAGAGGATAGATACATTTTAACCAGGTTTTATGAACAATGGGGGGGGGCGGTACCCAACACTAGAATAGCACGCACATGGTTTCGGGCTCTCTCGCCACCGCTTTGTTGCTGCCTATATTGGTGACATAACAGCATCACAAATTACTCTCTTTTCCAGGATTTAGGGGGCCATTTCCTCGGCTGGTGCCCCTTATTACAATAATTATTGGCACTGCACAAGGAGAGAGGCACTCACTGTTTACATTACATAGTGCATCGGGGGGTTTTGATTTTCTTTTCCTGATCTGGAATTCATCAAAATAAATTTCTGGTGGGCAACTATTGTCTGGTGGTACATTTTCTTCTCGATATGCTCAACTCCTCTTCACGAGGGTGAACCTGACCAACCTAAGGTTCACTGGGGTGCTGCCTCGTGACAATGTGTTACATTGTGACAGGTACAGTTTAAGTCTATTAACCCTAACCTTCCCCAACCACACAGAATTGAACAGTAGTAAAGTGTTTAATTCTGTGGGGATAGGTCTGGTAGGCCCATAACAGCTGGCTTTTGCATTGGGTTTGGCAATTGGGTTTGTCCAACAGCCTCTGTGCACAAAGTCCCATATGGGTGTTTAACTTTGTGCAATTGGGGAAGGTTAGGGCCAGCAATCCTTGGGGGGGTTAGGGTTAACAACTGTTTAAGACATATTTATTCTTATTCACAAATACTTTACGAGTTGTAAAGTCAAAGCAAATTAAAACATTTTATTAATCTTTTAGCCCTTGGGTTTGAAGTTGAAGTAACATTTATACATGTACTTCATTTTTTTCCAAATACACTGTACATGTACCCATCTAACGAGTACATGTGCCTTCATACATGTAGGGGTTTAAGACTGGCCATGTGACTGGGCTTTCGACCAATGGAAAGCTAAACTGTCACCGGTATTTATGAATGTTTGTTAAAGAGCCAATCAGGAGAAAGGATGCTAATCATGCCTGAGCCGAAGGCAAGGGGCATGGTTAGCATTCATTCTCCTGAGCTGGTCTTGAATATCACACTGGCCACTGGCACATCTATAAATGTACATTTATTTTCTTAACAAAGGCTGCACAAGCAAACAAGACAGATGTCTTAGGAGGCTGAACCACGGAGGGTTCACAACTTCACGTCATGTTCCTGACTAAAACAATTCAAATACACATGATCCCCCATAAATTCAAAATCTTTGGAGTTCAATGAAAGTCCAGGACATTATTATGATATTGGTCGGATGGCGTACCATGCCCTTGTGGTAAGGAGTTTCAAACTCAACTCCTGGGGTTCTCATTTGCAGAGAAATGAGTTTAGTCTCTAGAGGTACCAACGTGTGTGTGGGGACGTTACATGTACGTGTGTTCCTGAGTGAGTGCAGTAAAGGACACAGCTGCTGTGCTGGATGATTTGTTTGCGCTGAATTTGAATTACAGATGAAGCTGTGTACTCTCCTGACATGCTAAAAGCCTAGATGTTAGGGGCCCAATACCCCAATCAGATGGCATATACATTGTACCTTGAACAATAAATAGAAAACACTCAAGGTTAACGTTGCATCTCTCCTGACACCATTTAATTTTGAAGTTTAGAAATACAACTTGGGAGATCAGCAAAGAGCGCTTCCACTCAACGTCACCCTATCTCCCTGGACACGTACAGCACGTTAGGAACTTTCCTAAATCCTTCTCTATGCATCTTCCCTCTTCATCCTACCCTGCAGGGGTACATGGCCTACCATGTCTACCCTCTTCCATCCTCCAAACTCCTCTGGAATCTCCAGTGAGAGTTTGAAGAATCAAGGAGATTTGGATTAATTGTCAACTCAAAGGTCTCTGCATTGCTCTACCTTAAGTCCTGGTTGGTGGATGAAGCTGACCTCCTCATTACAGTCCTTGCTCATAAGGCCCCGCGTTGTCTTCTTACCAACTACAGGGGCTGTCTCAAAATCCTCATCTGGGCAGGCTTCCCTTAAGTACTGGCTCAGAGGAGAAGTCTGCAGGAATAACAATGGGAAATCATGTGTTCATTGACAAAACTGCCTCCTATCCTCCATATGACACTGCGTAAGCCTGGCATTACACTCCGCTGCATCATGGCCGGATGCATCAGCCATCCATGTACATACAGGTACACATACACATGTGAGCAAGTTAGTACGTACATGTACGTGATCCACATTAAAATTTATGCCAGTCCATCCAGTGTGCAAACTGAATGCAATGATTTTTAACAGGCCATTTATGTTTGCGCATGGTAGCTGTAAACTGCGCACAGGTATACGATCGTGAACTGACAACCTTGTGCACATTTTGCTGTTGAGAACTTTTGAGAGGGAGAATTTGTTTATTTTGTAGTAAGCCTAATCAGTCAATTTCTGCAGCTTCGGTTCTGCCTCTGCAACACTATTATTGCGACCACTGATGGTAAAATGCCCAAAGAAGGGCAGAAAAACTAACCAAGGAGGAGACAATTTTTGATCATATTTTTAGTGCATCCAAAATGACCTGAGAACACTGCTCCGATTGTCATATACACAGTATGAAAGATGACATACACAGTAAGAAAGATGTCTGATCATTTTGTCTGTTCATAGGCCCCTTATTGTGTAAATGCTGCGCAAAATCTTTTCATTTGTGCAAGACTGCTTGATTCTTATGAGGTCAGTCAAAGGTTACTCTGCCAGTTGTCTTTTCTATCTGCACAGACTGCAGTGTAATTCATTGGTAGTGGACAACTGTCTCAAAAAAGGGGGATTGTATGCTTGGGGACCCCTAGTGTTTTGTCATTTTAATCTTGTAAACTGGTCAGTCCCACCAACCAAAAAAAGCAATGCTCTCTTTATTGTGCTGACCGTATTTTGGGGACAGGAAGAGTTCCATATACAGATGCCAGTAATTATTCCCTACACTGACCTATTAGCCGTCAGAAACCAAAACCATGTCCTCCAGAAAAGTTCAATTTAGGCAAGAAAAACCAACTCAAACGACTTTTTTTTAAAGGCCTAGAATTTTTCAGACCAGTCCCATAGCGTTTATGCACAGGGTGTCAAGCGGCATTTCAAATTGTAAATTGCGAGAAAATGTGAATTTCTTACTGATAAACCAACCATGCAAATTTGAATCCACCATGTGTCGTGTGTTAAAACACCTCCAGTTTCCCCTGATTATTTCCCTCAAAACTCAAACCACAGCCCTTTTTGACATCTACCCTACAGTCATGGCAGTTATTGAGCACAATATCATAGTCATCTACCAAGCAAAGCGCATCCAAAAGTTAAAATGTAGCTCACCCTTCTATTAAAGGACTAGAGTCCCCAAATTAAAATCCCCGAAAAAGGAAGTAAAGTTGGAGAATTTGTGGAAAATGCCACAGACAGAATAGCCTACCCCGCCACACACATAAGCCTACCCCGCCACACACATATAACCCAACCCCTACGTAGCGGGATATCGAGTCAGGGACAGGTTGCGCTCTGACCGTGAAGCTGGATGTCGGGTGTCTGGAGGCGATCGGGCCTATCACTTGCCATGCTTCTATTGAGCCTATATACTTTTTTTAAAAAGTTAGGCCTACAGCCCGGCTTAACTGTTTGTCAACATCAGTCTTGCTCTAGAGTCTATACACGTAGGCCCTACGTGTGCATGTAAAAACGACACTGCCAGTAACGTTAGTGTAACAAACAGTCTGATAAAGTACACAGTCTGACAGTTGATACCTCAAGCAACACCTCCTCATCTTCGTCCATTTTAAGCAGGCAAACTTGAGGCAAAGAACTAACATCACACTCGTTCACACATGTCACACTGTCGCGAGCGCCAACGCATGCTGCGGTAGGGCCTAATGTAATGGTCATCTCATACATGTTATTACAGGGCCAACGCGAACGACAGGCGTGTTTCTAAATCTGTACGCGCGCCCCAACCATATGATTGTATAGCGCCGCTTAGCGGCGCAAGATGGAGAACTCGACTAAAAAGGCTTTCTCTGTGGTGAACTATTTACGACACACATTTCCACTTCACTCTAGCCTCTTCAAAGGCGACGCAACTACACGACGCGACGGCACGACGGCTCCCGTGCGTCGTGCTTCAGGCAACGTCACGCGACCACGACACGAATTACGATGCAACGCCCGACGGTGCAATGCGACAGGCGACGTTTAGGCGTTGTGTGTACAAACGTAATGGCAAGGAGGCGAAGGTGCGCCGCGACGCGTCGTGCCGTCGCGTCATGCAGTTGCAGCGCCTTGGAAGAGGCTAGGGAGAGGCAGAAATGTGTGTCGTAAATAGTTCACCATGTACAACTGGGGTATATGCCAGTGAATTTATACATTTCCTGGCAATGTTATAATGACCATACACCTGGGTTTCAATAACGTCTTCTGTTCCTGAGTGGCCGTAAGACTATGCGGGATAAACTGAATCCGTGTTGAAGTTAGGTCTATTAAGCAAACGCGCCCGGTCGGGAAGAGAAAAAATCTAGCGCAAAACTGTCAGCAAATCTAAACCTTCACTCCTTTCTCCACCACAGCCCACTTTTGAAAACTTCAGGAAAACTTCGATTTCTTCAAGCTTTCAAAGATCGCATCTAAACGCAAACAAACTACCGCTTACGAAAAGAGCCTTTCACAAAAACTCACTAGTTTTGACCACTCTGATGCTATTCCTCATTTTATTTTCACAAAACACGTTAGGAAAAGGCTTTGTCTTACCATAAAATATTTTTAGGCAGGTATAGACGTAAATTTCGTGAAATGAAGCCGTTGCTCGCCTGCTGGCACGAATTCTCATGGCCCTCGTTATGTAGGTCCGATGCAAATGATCTTAATATGGGACTTGCGCAGTTAATGATTTTCCCCGCTGACTCCCATACATGACACGGCAACATTCTCGGCAGTAAGGTTTATGATTTTGTTATCTCCATTATGGATCCGCAAAAGCAATACTGATGAAAAGCTAAAAATACAAATTGGAGCTTCTAGTAATTCGTATCAGCTAAAAGTGATGTAAGAAACAATGCTTAGGCCTATATGCAATACGATTACCTTCGATATTCTGAAATGTGACAAAACAGTCAGAACAGTCGAACCTCGTTAGTGAGAGGTCGTTCAGACTTGGCAAATTACCTTGTTATGACAGGGTCCTTGTATATTTATTATCAAGAATGAAAACGGTGAAAAAGAAAAGATCGGGACCTAAAAATTGCCTTGTTATAAATACAATTTTGTATTAAATTAACGAGGTTCGACTGTATTGCGTTGATTAAACACGAAATTATATTAAAATTGAGGAAATGTAATAAGTTGCAGGAGACTACATGTATTTTAATGAATCAGAAGTTGCCGCAGATTTGAAAAAAAAACAGAGGAACTGTTTATGAGGGCAGCATAAAGACATACAAGTATCGTAAAATTAAACTTAAAGGATCCAGGAAATGAATTTTTCTTAGAATCACTTTTTGTGTAGCTCCATATTTTCCTCATGTATGAAGATTATTTGGCACCTTTTTTGAGTTATGTAAACTGAACGGTGCACATTTTCAAACGTTAAAAATTGACCAAGCATTTATGGACAAGTGAGGGCGCTTTTGCTTTGATTTAAATGCAGGAAGATATGGTTCAGGTAGCATGTTTTCATGTTCAAATTGTGAACCCCAAATTTGCTATCTGGGAACATTTCTGTGAAAAGGATTTTTGCTGGATTATTGCCATATACTTACACAGCAATAAATTGCCAAAGAAAATGAAATCTGCCATAACAGTGGTTAAAAAAAATCTAGAAATTTTCTGTTCACAAATCAGTACAACATTGAGATTCAGTGCCTTGGGTGACATCATAGTTCTACTCACGAATATGCAAAAATGCATTAGCATAAAAAACAAAAAGCATCAAAATATGGGTTAAAATTGCAAACCAAAAAATTTAAAATTAGGTTAATTGAAACCAAAGATGCAATTTCAAGAGTTTTAGTCAAATTTATAAAAATATTTCCATTTCCTAGTTCCTTTAATATTGATATCTTTGCAAAGAACACCAACATAGCAGGTTAATTGCTCCACCCACAATCAATTCTTTCCGTTAAAGCCATTACATTAAGTCAGAACAAAAATATAACAAAATTCCTTCATACAATACTGGCGATTCACAATAGTGCGTCTCCAAGAGTTTGCAACGCGCTGACCAATCACAATGCACGAAATCTGTCGACCCAATGCGCGTTTGGAAATGGTATTCCCAAATCCACCTGGACTTAACGCGCTTTAAAAAAGAACACCTGTTGCGTTTCTGCACGCAATGGAATGTTTGCCAAGAGCCATTTTGCGTGACGGTTGTGCTTTAAGTGGCAGAGCAAAATACGCGACAATCACAGCTAACCCATTTTGGTATGAGGAAAGTTTCTTTTAATTAACACCTTTTTTGCCTTTAACAGCAAAGACTTGTAGAATCCCTTTTTTAGCTTTCCAAGATCAAGCAACCTTCACAGCACTGATAGGATTTATTTTGAAAGCATTTTCCTTATTTACCCTTGTATTTACAAACATGAATAATCGCTGGTAGTCTTCCCTTACTAACTTACACGAGCACAGCGCAGTAAAGATTTTTTGTCCCATTTGATCATTATTTGAGCTTCTGGGAAGTTCAAAATACCCTCAGATTACGTACTTAGTGTTTTTCACATACAAAAAGTGGGGATGTAGTAATAAATGGTCCAAAGCCTGTATTGAAAAGGAAGGGAGATAATATAGCCCACCCCACCCCGAGTATTAACCCTAACCCCCTAGGGTGTATGTAAAATCGTATTGAAATTGGGGGTTTGGGACTGTTAGGGTTAAGCACATGATCACAGCCCCTCCCCCCGCCGTATTTGCTTCAAGTGAGACTGCACGCTATCAGTGCATATGACTTGTGTAAATTATATATACGAAGGTCCTCTGAGACTGATAAAAACCAATCTTAAATTAACTCGGATTCCCAGTCGAGTCAATTTGTGCCGGGAACTGCCAGGATGGGAATGATTAGCCACGACGTGCCTGGCCATGGAAATTGAAGGGGGTTGCACAGTGCACACCATATGACAATAGGGAACGATGTTCATGATACAGATGTTCCTGAAGAAACTTACATCAAAATGACGTCTTTATGGCTTCTTCATTGTATTGCTGTTGACTGCATTTTGGTTTCCAGAAGTCCGGAAAATTCTTCAACATCCGCCTTGATTTTTTCCCACCAGGAAAAAGTGGCGGAATGATTCGAGCCACCTCAGAGCAGAAGAACCCCTCTCGCTGGATGAATGGAGTCAGGCATGGGCGTCCCCAGGATTTTTTTCTAAGGGGGGGAGCGCAAAATTTTTTACCCCCAGTAGGTGGAAAATTTCCTGAGGGCAAGCTAGGTTTAGTGGTGAAATGAAAGACACGAAGGGGGGTGGCGACATTTTAAAGTTAAACTGTGACTTTCACCCCATTTCCTCTCATTTTTATTTACTTTGTTTTACACAGCTTTTTTTTAGTTCCATTTTTTTAAGGGGGGAGGGGGAGTGTCCCCTCTTGCCCTCCCTCGCTACGCCCATGGAGTCAGGTTGGTTAGAAGTGGAGGACGCGACCGTTATACGCTCGCATTTCATAATCGTGAACCCATGAAGTGCAGGTCCGACCCCGAGAGCCTCAATTGCTAGGACTTGCGCCCTCTCTTGGTCGAACCCGGGGCTCATAGCTAATCCCACCGGTCAAAAGCGGGAGGCGTGTCGCCTCATTAACCACTTGGCGCCAGATGTCGCCAAGACACACGATTTCCCTTATTTATGGCATGCAAAGTTAACATTTAACCTGCATATACAGATATCTATTCCTAATAGAGATATTGTATCTATTAATAGAGATATTTCTATTTCTAATAGAAATACTATTAAATATTAAATTTGCACGCCATACTTATTTCACAGAGGACGTGTACACTCGATTAAGAATTCTTGGTTGGATATTAGCGCGGAAGAAGATCCTACACGCCGACGCTGCTACCGAGTGGACCCTCCCTTCATATTTTATGGGCACAAGAAATTGGTTGAGGAATTTGCGAAAAAACATGCCCGAAACAGCTTTTTCAGGGAAGAAACCCAACATTTAGGGCTTGTTCCTTGCAGATCTGAATCGCGATCAGTGATCCCAGAGCTGGTTCGCGGTACCATTAGGTGGGTTCTCGTGTCAGTGAACCAACGATAGATCACTAATCTCGATCCGCGTGAAACAAACAGGTCCTCACTGTATCCCTCCTCGATCCTCCATGTTTTCACGTACACCTCGAGGGTTAGGGTTCAACTGAATAAACTCAAGAAATACACACAATTCAAGCCAGTGTACCCTTCACCCTCTTTATTCAAGAAAACAGTTTCGGCCAACCACCCTTAACCAGGAAAGCGTACAACTAATATGATTTGAATTAGTTCAAACATTGTTTGGAATGAAGATTGTTAATGAAACATTTTCTAGCTATCTGTATTTTCAATTACAAAAATAGAAATTAAATATGAATACAGTAAAATTTGCACGTCAGAGGGTATGTGCACGGCCATGTGTAAAAACACTATGTCACCTCAGAAGGAAAAGCCTTTCTGACTCGCACGTCTTTTCCTACTTCAACATTATACCGTTGACCGCTTGAGGGATGGCCTTCACTTCAGTGTTGAGTTTAAAGTGTCACAGTTTCCAAAGTATTATGTACTACTTGGTGGTGCATTTTGCTATGGAAAAAATTAAAATTTTAAGAGCAGAACAAAGATGGACTTAAAGAAAAATTACTTTAAGAATTACATGTATTGAATTTCTTTTACTGCGTTAGCGTTTTTGCCGTAACCTTATTACCCAAGGTTGAACTTGATTCATCCAGTAGGGAAAATATGTCTCTTGGTTAGCATGGACTAATAACAATGTTTAAGAGCAAATTTTGAATTCAATAATGGTAATCCATTAGAAGCGCGAAGCCGATCACCATGGGGTCCTAGGTGACATGCGCAGGCTGTTTACTTGTACTCCAAATCCTGAAGGAAGATAAAGAAAAGGACACTATAAAAATATGGACCTAATTTTCTCTCTTTGATGCTGCTTCATTTTTCCACTTTTGAAGTTAAAGTGTCACATGTATTCGCTTTAAATAACGTTTACAAGGCTCAATTCTGTAAACGCTTCGGTTGTATTTGGGGCATTTATCAGGGCCAAACTGGTCGAAAGTAGGAAAAAATTTGGTGTCGATAAAATTACATTTTAACCAGCACTGAAAAGCTCAATAAAACACGTGTTTGAATGAACGATTATTTTCTTAATTAATATTTCCTTCAATTATTTTCAAACAAATGATGCCATTAAGGTTGTTGACCAAGCCTTCTCTCTTTAAATGTAATCTTAATATACGGCATATCAGGAAAATACATAAACCCCTTTTGTTAAAGGGTACGTGATGTCATGAATAGCTAATTATAAAACATCCTATTTTAAAGGAATAATGTTTCAGTTTCATTGTTTCCCAATGCCTTTGACTACTAAACGTTTTAATGGCCAATTTGCAAACATTAAAGTACACTTACGTCCAGCTCATCAAACAGTTCCCGTTCGACATTGTCCTCTGTAAAAGTGAACATAACATACATTCAAGGCGAGAAGTCACACTGGTTTGTTGACCTGCTAATAACTGGGCGCCACCTCATTAGGAATGAAGCTCAAAATCAACTTTCCATTGAACATTAAATCTCTGCACTCCACAAGATACCGCCAATTTTCCCAGTCATTAATGGAAGCGGTAATGGCAAATCAAAATCTACTTTCAGAGAGAGGTGGTGGAAACGACAATTTTACAGGTTGAAAGAATACTAGAGAGCTGCTTTTCCGATCTCTTATTCCTTTTGGCAGGCATTGTTTTTAACTTCAACCCGGAGACAAAAACGACAAAAAGTCTGGCCGATGAAATCCGCAACACTAAAGAGGGACATTTAAGTGCGATCCACACATACCCACAGTCGACCTTAAAGCCATCCAGTCCTATGTACACGTGCATTTAACCTATCTCGATTTGTCTGAAGTTAATGCAACCGAACATCAACTGTTCCCTTCAGAAGATTAACGGCTGGATGATTACGAATCAACTCTGACTTAATAAGCACGACAAACAAAGAGATAAAATAAAGCAATGCTGGCATCACCGTTTTCACGTTTCTCTTCGGTCTCGTTATCAAGGAAAGCTGCACGTTCCAACTCTTCCTCCTCGCCTGAAAAAAAGCAAAGCAATCAATCGAGGGACCCTTGATAACCAAAAATCTAGCACTCGATACAACCTTGGAAAGGAACAGAGGGAAGCACAAATGGCAAAAGAAGGAAAAAGAAATCTGTTTCAATTGCCACGTTTCTATAACATCCAGTCAAGTAACTTAAGAGGGTAACTTTCTTGACTATCAGACACAAGATGTTACAAATGATTCATTTATGAACAAGCCCCTGGAGCGAGTGAAAAATTAATTTTATATTTCCAGGTTTTGTTGCTTGTGCAATAAAATTGAATGCGTTGGTCTATTACCTGGGTTTTCAATTCCTTAAATTAGACAACTGTCGAGCCTATTCAGTAACACACTACTCACTGAACATCAAATTAGCTAAGGTTCCCAACTGTACGTGAATACCTTGACTCACCTTCATTGAGTCTTGCTTCCAAGGCACGGAGCAACTCAGCCTTCAAGTCATCTAGATTGCGTTTATCGGCTTCTTCGGCTGCAGATTCAAATCAAACCATAAGCTAAAGTGTATTTCCGAAAGATGTGGCTCCACGGCCAAAATCGTACAAGTGCACCTCCGGGAAGCGACTGCCGATCGACCAACAGATTCCATTGGCGCCCGTGTTAATTCGACTTGAAGCTATAATGCGTTCAGACACTCCAAAACTCGACTACACATCGCAATGGTGTGACAGGGAAAACGCAGGAAAAGACAGCAAATTGGACTGATTATTTCATATTATACTGCAGCAAGTTCGAAAATTACAAGCATCATCTACAAATTTTTCGGGAAAAGCTTTTGATAATTGACTGCTTTCAAATGTGGGCGAGGTGTAATCTTAAACTTTCTAACAAAGAGTGTGCCAACACATATCAAATCGATCCGAGATTTTTAAAATGCAAGCCAAAGACGAATTCCCATGTAGGGGGGGGCAGCTAAGACCGAAGGATAAAATTATCTGGCCGCCGACTAACTTTCGGGGGAGGGAATCGTTCAATTTTCCGTGGTACGTTTCTCCTTTGCCCGTTTTCAAGATGAGACAATACATAGAGCCAAATAAAATGTTTTCTAGCATCAATTTCTGACGGAAAATTTTGAAGGCGAAAACATTTCTTTTCACAGGAAGAAAGAGTAAAACAATGTAAAACATTGCCCATGCACATTCACTCAGGATTTGGGAAACAATGCGAGGCTTTGGTAGTTCTGAAAAATATTGCTGGCTAATAACTTGCTTACCCTGGGCACGTTTCTCTGCAGCCTCTTTCTCAAGCAGAGCCCTGCGCTCTTCGTCTTCCATCTCGTCTGCAAAGAAAAGGCAGAAAACTCGAGCCTTCGCAGCTATGAAAGTAGGCCTACTATTTTAGTATTTGGGAGTGCTAAAAAGAGCTTCCAAAATGATTGTAGAGTTTTGTTTCTTCAGTGAGTTGTCTGAAAATATTTGCCTAGGTCAGTCTCTAGCTACTTATACTTAACCTAGTCCCACAGTATACGTAAAACTCATATTGTAAGTGGAAGACTGAGGACTGTTAGAGTTCCGTATTTGATCTTCGTTTGCATTTGTAGATGCACAAAAGTGTTCATATTTAAATGAGCCACAACCAGATGAAGGGATTCCCGATAAATTAAAACAGTGTATGGTCTGAAGTACCTTAAGTGGTGTGCACACACCTACCAACCTGACTCACCCCCACTCACCTTCGTTTAGCCGCTCTTGCAACGCACGGATCAGCTCGGCCTTCAAGTCATCCAGACTGCGCTCATCGGCTTCCTCGGCTGCATATGCAAGCCAAATCAAACCATACATTAAGTGTCTGCAAATTCTAATCCTGTGGCCAGTGATAGCAGTGACTGCTATCCAATGATTTCCTTGTGATGCCCGTGTTCATTTTCGCTTTATAGCTAATACTTTCAGATAAAATTTAATAACCGTATCAAAGCTGGACTATACATCGTAGTGGTCTTGAAGGGAAGTTTTGGGGAAAATATCAGACTGAACTGGTGATTTCATACTTCTCCGGCATGTTTGAAAATTACTAGATTTTCACTCGTTTTATTTTTGACTTCTCCAATGAGGGAAGGCTAGTCTTCAATTTTGTAACAAAAGTGGCAAAATAGGCCTATATCCCTCTCAGAAAAAGAGGATGTAACGGATAGACAATTCGTCATGGATTAAAGGACATACAAGTACTCGAAAAGACATAAACAACCAGAAACAAAAACTATCCGGCCCAAGAACAACTTTAGGAGGAGGAGTTTGGTCAATTTACCCTGGGCACGTTTTTCCTCGGCCTCTTTGTCAAGGAGAGCTGTGCGTTCCTTCTCCTCGGCCTCTACGGCTGAAAATAAATCCATGTACAAATAGAGTGTAACCAATTACAATTTCTAAAGGGAATGTTTGTAGGTACCAAAATGTCCTTTCTCGGAAGGCAAGAAAGTAAGTCAGTAATGAAGTGGAAAGAAGGAAATACACAAAGTAAATATGTTTCCATGTGTAATAAGTAAAACCTCCAAATGGAATTTCAGGCTATTCATGGTGAAAGACAGCAATAGGTGGAAAGGCTTGCGGGAGCACCATGCGAAGGAATATGTCTCTTATGAGTATGTGTGGTTACCGGAACCCACACAATACTCCCAAGAGATAAATTTCTTCCCATGGTGATACCGCAAGCCTTTCCACCTATTAAAACCTCCAAGTTGGTAAACTTTGAAACTGTACAAAGCTATACCTTGGGAAACAAGACGGCATAATTTGCAGCTGTGAAAAGATTTTTGACTTCACTGGCTTACCCTGGGCACGTTTCTCAGCGGCCTCTTTCTGGAGCAGAGCCCGGCGCTCTTCGTCTTCCTTCTCGCCTGCAAAGAAAAAGGCAGAACGTAACTAAGTGCAAGGAACTAAGAGCGCTAAGAAAGTGGGACGATAAATCAAGTGATTAGCCCAATGATTTTCCTCTCCCCTTCAACCCATTATCGACGTCTAGCATTCTTAGCCACATTAGGTTTCTTGCGATTTTTTTGGGGGGGAGGGGGTGTCGAGAAGAGCCACTCCACTGATCGCAGCGCCCGCGTTGCTTCCACTCTGGTGAATTGTCAGAAAATTCTGTGAGAATATACTGTCAGAAAATCGGCTTGCATGTGTTGAAACGTACGCGAAAGATTACCAGTGTAAGAAATTCACCGTATAACTTTCCCTCATTTAGCCTGGTCTTCTTCAAAGTCATTGCCAAAGGTGTTTATTTCTATAAAAAAAATCGAATAAATGAGTTTCAGTGCTCCAATATTTCTGAAAAAGTACCAACAATCAATTATTGAAGCACTGTTGAAGGCCGCTTTACAGGTGACTGAATTGCAGCGTTAGTTGCCTTTGGTATTTAATTTTCGTTTACATGCTTGCGAATGTTTACCTTAAAATTGGCAATTTATAACACAGCGAAAACACTCACCTTCGTTTAGCCTCTCTTGCAAGGCACGGATCAGCTCGGCCTTCAAGTCATCCAGACTGCGCTCATCAGCTTCCTCGGCTGCAAATGATAAAAAAAATTAAAAACTCAAAAGTTCTATGGATGAGGCCGATGACAGCACGTAATCTATGAGAAGGGCTGCAATCGCTTCTTTCCATTAGAACCTGTGTTAATTCAGTCTTAGTTATACTTCCACCGTTATCAGACAACCTTCATCAAATCTGTTCGTAGTTTTAGCCCGTTTTAAATATGGTGGACAACATATGGCACTGACAGTGACTGGTTTGAGAATTTGACCCCACAATTTAAACACTTATGAAAAGGAAAAATAACAGCAAAGTAAAATTATTTACATCAAATGGACATTGTGGGAATGTCTAAAAAGGATGAAAAAAAAGCCGAATGCAACATGAAAGCAAAAAAATTACTTTAAAATGTGAATAAAAAAGAAAATGAACCAGTGGTCAAGAGAATCCGTAAAATCTCGGTATACATGCACATCTACGAAGAGAGATTTCTATTTGTAACCTGCCTTTCTGTTTTATACGCATCTCAATTAGCCTTATATTCCTCCTATCTTGAGGTTTTACAATTTGAAGGCTCACAGTGCGAACATGCATTGCCCATAGACGACAAAGAAAGTAAAATTCGGAATTTCTCATTTCAGTCACCCAGAGCGAAATCGACTGATGGTTATTCACTGCTCAATACGGGCGTTTCACAATAGTGCGCCGTCAAGAGATTGCAATGCGTTGACCAATCACAATGCGCGAAATTTGTCGACCCAATGTGCGTTCGGAAAGGGCCGACAAATTTCGCGCGCTGTGATTGGCTAACTGGTTGCAAACTCATGGTGGCGCACTATTGTGAATCGCCCCCATTGAATGAAATTAGTTCTAAATTGAATTTGTCCCAGTGCACTATTCGACGCCTGTAAATGAATTTGAAGGCTCTACCGTATGAAAAAGAAACATGGAAGCAATCAGCTGAAAGAAATCGTTGGAATACGTATGAACCATAATGAATATGATTGGGTAGATGACGAATTCAGCAAGGAAATCTTTGGCACGCATACTCAAATTTTCACCATGAACTGATTTTTTTTCCAAAGTGAGATTAGGATACTTTTTCCTGTAGGCCTACTTACCCTGGTCATTTTCTCTGAAGGCATCGGCAAAGCCATTTCTTTCTGTTAAGGGAATATAAACACCAAATGGGTCACTGTGGACAGTTCTATCTTGATACCTACACGTTTGGTACCATTTTTCGGGAAGCCTTTTTGCCGCCGGTTAGGGCGGCGTGAGCATTACTACTTGCGGTAATACTAAAAGGAAACCAAGATTTCAGGATGATTTGCTCAGTAACAGCTGAACATTACTCAGTGTACGCTAATTGTACGCTTTGTATCGTGGGTAATTTGTTTTCTATCTTTGACAACAGAAAGATGATGGCTGTGTCACGCATAACTGATCACAGACCACCGGAAATAGTGATGTTAACATTGGCTTTACTCACGAGCTCCCTCGTAAATATGCCTCTGGTGCTTACATGCATCCCCTGCGTACGTTTCATCACACGGACTTATTTTGCATTTGAATGATATTTTGTTTTGGTTATCTTTAGGAGGCAGGAAAGTTGTTAACTTGCCCCATTTTGCTGAAGAGTCATTCAATCAACTAATACTAAAGCTGTAAGTCTCGAAAGTTGGAATTTGTTTTTCTTAGGGAAGCCAATTTATTCGTAGAAATCATTAATGTGTTGGATATTTCGAGGTTTTTTATGTACACGTGCAGTATAAACTTGCTCTGCATATGACAAACCGAAATTGTGAACTACAAACTGACCGACCTAAGGAGTGTTCTCATTAAATATAAAAACTGGGAAACAGTGTGAGCCTGCAAAAGCTACGGAGACGACTTCTTGGCTTAAGTTACTGTCTTACGTTCTTCAGCCGGTTCCTGTGCAGTCTCTGTCTCGTCCATAGCCTCGCGCTCCTCTTCTTTATCAGCGGAAAAGTAGAAACAAGAGGAGAACCTCATGATAAAGGGAAAGCTTGTTAACGTGGGCCATGACCAAGACTTTGGAAGGCATTGGCAGTTTTCTGCGATCGCGACACGCCTGATATAACGAAAGTGTTTCTGAAACATGCATTAAAAGAAACACCACAGAGATGGAAATTCCACCGTTTTTCAGGTGAGTGAAATGCTACAAGGATGGTCGCTGTAACTACCCCCTTACCCTGATTAAGTCTGTCCTGCAAAGCACGGATCAGTTCTGCCTTCAGTTCATCCAGGCTACGTTCGTCGGTCTTTTCTAAAGATCAAGCATGATCGACATGAAAGATGCTGTACTTCGTTGTCGTTATGAAGTAAAGCTTAATGAAAAACATGAGAAACCACACAAAAGGTATCTGGGTAGGCCTATACATTGCTTTGGTGACTGGATAGTATTTAGAATGCTCATTGTCAATTTTTGACATGAATTGATTTTTCCAAAGTGAGATCAGGAAAGTTATCCTTTTCTTACCCTGGTCAGTTTCTTGGAAGGCATCAGCAAAGTCGTTTCTTTCTGTTAAGGGGAAAAAAAACGAACGAGTCACTGCGGATATTTCTACCTCTAAAAATACCGACACATAGCGGAACAGAACTGCGTGTGCATATTTTCTACTTGCGCAGGGGGCCATGATTATACATAAAAGACAGCCTGAAAGGAAACCAATATTTCAGGATGATTTGCTCAAAACACTATTAATAAGTGTACACTTTGTCTCATAGAGATTTCATCTTTTTACACTAAAGATGATGGTTGTGTCACAAATGACTGATCACAAACCATTGGAAATGGTGATGCCCAAACTGGCTTTACTTACGAGCTGGCCCTCAGATTGGAGGCCGGGGGTACAGGCAAAGGGCTCATGTCACCCGACTCCTAAGCTAGCAAGTAAACCCACAATTTAGCTTACCCCTCCCAAAGGCCATGAGGTTACGTAAGGAAACTGCTGGGCCCGTTGAACAAATATAGACTCCTTGTATAACTGGTGCCCATACTGGTACCCTGTGCATACGTTTCATTACACGGATCCATTTGCCGTTTCAATGAGGTTTCTGTTTTGTTCATCTTTGGGAGACAGGAAAGTTGTCAGCTTGCCCTACTTTGCTGTAGAGTCATTCAGCCAACTAAAACTAACTTGTAACTTCAAACTAACGCTAGAGAAGTCTCAGAAGTAAGAATAGTTGTCTTGGGGAAGTCAAGTAAAGTTTATCCAATCCTTAAAACATGTCGAATGTTTTGAGGTTTTGTTTGTAATGCTCTACATTGAAAATATACCGAATAGTATACTATCAACTGACCAGAGTGCATGACCTTAATAGTGCTTCGAATAATACACCTTATAGCTTTGATTAACTTCTTGACAGAAGTGTCTTACGTTCTTCAGCCGGTTGCTCTGCAGCCTCTGTCTCGCCCACAGCCTCGCGCTCCTCCTCTTCCTCGGCTGAAAGGTAAATTTAGAGGAGAACCAGGTTATGAACAGGGAAGATCACAATCAGACCTAGATATTTTCCACCTTGACATCAATGATTATTTAAGAGAACTGGTCAACGGTTTGAGCCTGCAGCTTCTCTAAGTCACTCTGCGTCTCCAAACCAGCCTCTCCAAAGATAAGGTTATTCATCGTTATATCAAAATTTCGACCATTCGTCTCAATTTGGGGTCACACGCAGCAGCATTTCGATATAAAGCGCAATTTTGTTACTTGTGTTAATTCAGTTCACTCCGTCTTGAATGGGTTAATACAGATTTTTTTCCAGAAGAATTCCAGGTTAACAGAAGGCCCATTCAAATTCGTTCTTAATGAAATGCTCCCCGAGACCATCACTCAATAACAAATTGTCTTTCGACTTTTTTTATTTCAATATCCCTTTGGATGAATAAATGCATTCACAAACAATATTTTCAGTCACACTCCAATTCAATAGAATTTATGAGGGGCCGATCAAGAACTCATCTCATCAGAATTAGTCTCCAACAGCTACGGCTGACAATTCACGTGTCTATGTACATTGTACGACGAATTAAGTCGCCAACAAGCCAATAACTTCGACGGACAGAGGGGCGTGCTTATTACTGCTTACCATAGTCGGAAGACATTGACAGTTAGTGTGAACGCGACATGCCCGATGTAACGAAAGTGTTACTGAAACATGCATTAAAAGAAACGCCACAGAGATGGAAATTCCACGGGTTTTCAGGTGAGTGAAATTCTACAAGGATGTAACTACCCGCCTTACCCTGATCAAGTCTGTCCTGCAAGGCACGGATCAGTTCTGCCTTCAGTTCATCCAGGCTACGTTCGTCGGTCTTTTCTAAAGATCAAGCATGATCGACATAAAAGATGCTGTACTTCGTTGTCGTTATGAAGTAAAGCTCAATGAAAAACATGACAAACCACACAAAAAGTATCTGGGTAGGCCTATACATTGCTTTGGTGACTGGATACTATTTAGAACGCTCATTGTCAATTTTTGACATAAGTTAATTTTTTCAAAGTGATATCAGAAAAATTATCCTTTGCTTACCCTGGTCAGTTTCTTGGAAGGCATCAGCAAAGTCGTTTCTTTCTGTTAATGGAAAAAATAACCGAATGAGTCAGTGCAGATATTTCTACCGACACATTGCAGAACGGAGTTAGTTACCGTATTATTAGCGCAAGCCATTTTGTCGTCGGTGAGAACTGCGTGTGTATATTTTCTACTTGCGCAGGGGCCATGATTATAAATAAAAGACAGCCTGAAAGGAAACCAATATTTCAGGATGATTTGTTCAAAACACTATTAATAAGTGTACACTTTGTATCATAGAGATTTTGTCTTCTTTTGACACAAGACAGATGATGGCTGTGTTACACGTGACTGATCACAAACCATTGGAAATGGTGATGCCAAAAGTGGCTTTACTCACGAGCTGGCCCTCATATTGGAGGCCGGGGGTACAGGCAAAAGGCTCATGTCACCCGACTCCAAAGCTAGCAAGTAAACCCACAATTTAGCTTACCCCTCCCAAAGGCCATAAGGATACATAAGGAAAATATTGGGCCAGTAGAACAAATGTAGACTCCTAGTATAACTGGTGCCCACAGTGGTACCCTGTGCATACGTTTCATCACACGGATCCATTCGCCGTTTCAATGAGGTTTCTGTTTTGTTCATCTTTGGGAGACAGGAAAGTTGTCAGCTTGCCCTACTTTGCAGAAGAATCATTTAAAAAACTAACTTGTACTTCAAAATAACGCTAGAGAAGTCTCAGAGGTTAGAACATTTTGTTGTCTTGGGAAAGTCAAGTTAATCAATTCCTTAAATAAGTCGAATGTTTCGAGTTTTTGCTTGTAACGCTCCGCATTAAAAATATACCGAATAGTAAACTATCAACTGACCAGAGTGCATGACCTTAAGAGTGATTCGAATAATACACCTTATGTGACCTTTGATTAACTTCTTGACAGAAGTGTCTTACGTTCTTCAGCCGGTTGCTCTGCAGCCTCTGTCTCGCCCACAGCCTCGCGCTCCTCCTCTTGCTCGGCTGAAAAGTAAAAATTAGAAGACAACCTTAATATGAAAGGATGAAGTGCACACTCGCATCTATGAGCTATGTATCTTTGTTTGAAAGAGAAAGTGTTTATGGTTCAAGTTGGCAGCTTTTCTTTGTCGCTCCGTATCCTGTGTCTTTTCATTCCGGGGAAAGAAAAACACATATCGGCCTTTCAAAAGATGAGACAAGTTTGGTAATTTCTACATCAAAATTTCGTCCACAAGCGTTTCAATTTTGGGTCACGCCAGGCAGCATTTTCGTCAAAAAAGCGCAATTTTGTTACTTAGACAAGTGCTGTTCACAAGGTCAATAGTTACATATAGATTTTGATTCGCACCTTCTCTGTGAACACTTTATGGATATTTATCAATAATCCTGAATGATAGCTTTGCGTTCCTCTTCCTCGGCAGAAACATGCATTCAGATGAGAATGTTATCATTCATTATCAGAACGAGTGAAATTAGGGACAAGACGTTTTAGAGTGAAAATCACTCTGAATTTAGACTGAACAAGGCTGAAAATAGTCCTCCTCCAGTGGAAGCTCGAGTGGAATTTCAATCTTTTGGAGTGAAGCAATTTTACCCCAATTCGTCTGTTCCTTTATTTCAATCGGAGGGATTGAATTTTCACTCGAATAGTGAATTTTCAACTCTTTGGAATTTAGAGTAGCCGAGCGCTTGAAACCCATGACTTCGGTTTAAGAAAGATGCATTGTTTTTCAAAGAGCAGAACTGATGAAAAGACAAAAAGAGGAGTGTGGAAAACTTCATCTCCGCAACAGGGTGGCCTACCTTGGGCGAGTCTGTCCTTCAATTCACGGACCAGCTGCGCCTTCAGATCATCCAGGCTGCGTTCCTCGGCTACAGACAAGTGAATCACACCAAAGAGCATAATTCAAAGACACGAAACCAAGATTCACGACGCCGTAATGTGTTTCAGTCATTGGAAGATTGGAGATGTTTGTGTCTTTATTTTCCTTGCTATGGATTGAGAGTGCTCTATCAAAACAGATCGATTAGAAACCGAAGAATAACGACTCCAGCTATATTTTTACACTAATCACACTAGCCATCAACTTCTGTTGCACTTTTCACTGCACGCCTGTGATAAGTTATGAATGTTAATTTTAAACCAAACCTTACCAATTGCATACAAATCAACTTGGTAACGAAGAATACCAAAAACCACCAATAGTCCGAATCTGCACACTCCAAACTTAAAAACAGGCACAAATACAACGAATTGTATTCTACAAAGACGATTAAATGAGTTGATCAATTTTAAACGAAGCATTGTTTCTGTAAAAAGATGTCGTTATATATCTGTTTCCTAATAAAATATCAAAAAAAATTGTAAGATAATTTTCAAGTCTAGAAGTAATTCATTGATTTTATGTCTTTACAGGTAAGGAACGAAAAGGACACATGAATTGCATGAACAGTGAGTCGAAATCATCGAAATCATGGTTATCTCGACCACTATGATAGGCACATAAACATTACAGCATCGTACAATGTCCAAGGAACTGAGAAACTTCTCGATCCATGGATTTGACTAAAAGTCCCCGCTTCTATCTCTTAGTTAAATTTAAAAACGCCGTAAATTTGCTTTATTTGGACGAAGAGCCATTATGAATAAGTTTACAATACTTACCAAAGAGGCTGGCGGAGCAAACCAGGCCGACACACATCGCAACGAGCAGAAGTACCTTCATGGTGACTATGTTCTTGGTGTCCAACTTAACGGAAAGATACCTGCAGAAATACAGGGAAACAATAAATCTATTGAGGATGTCTGCAGAATTGTCAAAGCCTGGGTTTAGGGCAGGATCAAAGTAAGCAATTTTTAGCCGCATAAGGTAGGCATTATGCGTTCTCTATGCGTATGGGATCCACGAGAGTGCTTTGAGTTTGCTTTTCGTAGCGTTGTATGTCAACGTGTTGTCAATGAAGGCACTCCTAGGTTTTATAGGCCTATTAGAGAGTATCTTTTTAACAAAAATACACCCTACTGAGGGATGCAAATAGAAACAAATCTATATATTTGATGAAGCATGCCCTGCTGTATCGCTACATCGTCTCGCAAGCATTAAGCTTGTTAGTTTCCAGCGTGATCGTAACAATCGCCGAAAGCACGCGAACAGTCACGGAAGAGACGGTGTTTGACGTCGGTAGACCAGCCCCCCCCCCAAGCGTCCGAAACTCAGACATCATGAGTTTATATCTTTTGTGGAAGCTGGAAGATTTAACGTAATCTATTTATGGGAAGCTATTTCGTTGAGTAACCGGCGAAATGCCAATCACTCAACTGACAAACAACGTACGCCCGTCATCAAACCAGAGCGTAATTGTATACGCTGTACTCCGACAACTTGACGCAACTTTGTCCGCGCCAAGTCGCGACGAAGGTTTCAATGAGTGCAAACCATCTGGGAACCTGACACAAATTTACGCGACTATATGGGGTTTGTGACTGTCAATTACAGAAAACTCTCATTATAGGGCCTACTTTTGAAACGCTTGACTGGAAGGCCAACTGCAGAGTTGCGGTATCCAATTAAGCCTAAGAATTCGACTGAACGATTCAAACTTGTTTGTTCAGCACACGCCGTCAGCATTCAACTTTTCTCCATAGGGCTGCACTGAACTATAATACACTCTATACTGCATAGAAAGGGCACAGTGTTTTGTGAGTTCAAATAGCGCACTACTTTCTCACAAATGAAATGAAGGCCTTGAACCAAGCCATGAATGACTGAAATTTAGCTCTGCACTGAAAAGGACTTAAAATCCTGGCTTTCAAATTCCAACAAATGGTACACGTTCTAGGCTTATTAAAATGTTCTCTTGCATGGCTAGAATTGGGTCTATATATTCATGTCTGCCTTCCTTTTTCACACAAAATTCATGAATAAGTAACCGGGTTTCGTGAGTTACTAGGCGTCCACACGGTGGAATTGGACAACACACACCAACCAAACAAACCAACAAATACACCTTTTGGGAGTGATTATTCTGGTCTGGTTTTGCAAACGACGAGATGATTCGATTACACGTAAAGTATGATTATCTCTAACATAATCTTGAAACATCTAGGGCATCAGCGTATGCGCGTTTAAAAAGATCAACAGCAACTTGACTGCTTGCGAAAGATGCATTCTAAGATGCATGATCCGGAATACAATTCTTTTAACTCTGAATAAAGGATGCTGGGAAAAATCTGGAAATGGTTAGCATCGGAAAGGTGGTGGGATGTCCTTTCTGAAGCAATGGTGATGACCATTTTTTTAATTTAACGATATCCCTATATTTTCCCATATCCTTCCAAATCCATCGAGGGGATTAGATCTTAATCGCTTTAAGTTCTCAGTGTCCAGCTAGCGTGCAGGGGTATAGGTCCAAGTTTATGCCAGTTGGGTTCGAATGCGAAAACCCGGCTGCTGAGATAGATGCAACTGTGCACACAGGCTTATATTGTTACATGTTACCGCTGCCAACTGTTTCCTTTCAGATTCAACACTAATCGGGCCTCATCATGCCTCGCTGTTGGTTTGGCGGGGCGTCATTGAAATCCAATATGGGTTTTCTGCGAGCATGTTTTTTTATTGTTTTGCCGAACATTATTTGGCACAGCTAACTGATAAATACGATAGGCCTATCCACGTACGCAAAATAACAGCATTCTGGGTATAGATGTACTTGGAAACTCTGCACGTCGCCACCATACTCAAAGAAGTTGCTCACATGGGACGATTTAAGGTGTTTTTTCCCACAGAGATGATGTACATGTTCATGTAATGGCTCACATTTATCATGCAGATGGTGTGGCAACTCTCACGCTTTAACATTTGTTAACGTGGGATGTCTGAATTCGGGTCATTTGTTTTGACCTGAATGCCCACACCATCTTAAAAAAAAACCAAAGAATAAAACTGACCTCGGACATTTGCCCATTTTCTGCTTGGGTACATACCCTACAATGACTTGAGTACTTATAGAAATGGCAAAGTTTATGGTCGGATTGTTTGTGAAAATGCACGATCGATGTTGTGAAAAGTCTGTGGACGGCAAATCTGGCAATTGGCCTTATTCACAAGTCAGTCATTTTGAATTGAAAGCAAGAGTAGCCGTTTATTTTGGGAGCCCGAGAATACAAAAGACAAGGAAATAAAGCCCACAACAAATTCATGTCATTTTTGCTGATTGATAAGACAAAAGTTGTGACAAAAATTACATCTAAATGTTGTAAGCAACATTCAAAACAAAAGTGAACAGTCTGGCATCATTTCAATTCTAAGTTTCTGAACGTGTTCAGGTGCATGAAACACCTCGGTGGAGAATCATTACGTCGAGTCTGCTTGACCAAGTCCGGTCAACAAAATTTAATCTAACCTTGCGAGTCTGTATATAGCTCACTGAAAGCATTCCCAAACATACAATGTATTCCGAGCACGTACAGGAATAAAGAACGGAATTTGAATCCGAGTTGAATTTCGCATAGAGATAATTTATTCCGCGCAGTGGCATTCAGGGCTTGACCTCAGAAAGCCTTGGAAATTTTCTCAGGACTTGAAGTATGCTATTGCCACTTTTTTTGGTAAGAGTTCCATACTCGGACATTAATTATATTCCGTTGTGGTGGTTTATAAGCCATCAAAAAGTGATGACATAAAAAAGTCAAATTTTGCAGTGAAAAATATTACAGTATTTTGAAAGTTTCATATACGGACGCCACTTGACACCCTGTGCACAAACCCTATGGGACTGGGCTGGAACAATTCTAAATGATTTCCAAGTAAACGAATCGGCTTTTTCCCTCCTAAATTGAACCTATCTGGGCATGTTTTTGCTTTCTGGCGGCTAATAGGCCACTATAGGGAATTATTACTGGCGTCCATACATCGAACTCTTCCCCATAACTTAGGAAAAGAATTTTTAAACCTAGTCTCATTCATACATGTACATGTATATGGTTTGGGAAAGAGTTCCATATACGGACAACACTTGAGGTAATGTGCACAAACCTATGACACTTGTCTGAAAAAAAAGTGTTTCATAGTAAATGCGTCGGAATTTAATTTCCTTAGCTAAATGTCACTTTTTAGGACTGGTTATTTACTGACGGCTGTTATAACATTTAAAGGAAAATTTGTGTTGTCCGTACATGGAACTCTCTCCAAACATTGCTGAGGGAACATGCAAAATTGGGACTAAGTATCAGCCCAAATCATTCGACAGACAACCGAGGTTGTTGAACAGGTGAGGTGATAATAGACCCACCACTAAAATTAACGGCAACCATGACAATGTGCCTATAGACCGGACAAGATGAAACAGGTAGATTTTAAGCTTTCTGGGTCGTCAATAAAAAGCAACAGGTATTTATTTTCCTTCGTGGAAATTGCTCAGTAATATTGCATAATTAATTGCATGTACATGTTACATCACACGCCCACTATGAAGTGACTGACCTGTTCTCTGTCGTTGGGTATATTTGCAATCCTAGCTCTGATTGTAAATTGTCATTATAACTTCTGCTGAGGGGTGTACTGAATGAATCTCACAGCACAAGTATTCAGACCTAATGCGGTGATGTCGAGCTTAGGCCTAATAGCCACCAGTTGAACTTACCCAATGTCTGATCTCTAGCGGTCTACGTGGGGCTCTGTCTCGAATTCGCAGTCAACTGAGCTGTTTTCGACGCCTGGCTACGCCTTGTAATGAAGAGAACCTCGGCTTAGAGTACAATAGGCATTGCAGTTCACTTCAGTGTTGCACGCTTCAACGGAGCCGAAGAAAAAACTACGTGGGCGCACAGGCCCTACCAAGTCAGAATCTTGGTTCCGTGAACAATACCGCAGATTGCGGTATTCAAAGACCTTGCGTTCGATTGAGGGAGCACTCGTTTGTCTCTCCAAAAAGCATTATTTTTCAGTAAATCCCATGTGCCATCACAAATAAAGCTTTTACCCATGCGCAGAAGACAAAGCTGGTTGTGAGAAGTCCGAACTTTCGTCATTGGTTGACTATCCAAGTTATTTTGGCAATCCTAAATAACTTTCAATCACGTTTACCATTTGCATTATTGTCATGTAAAAACCTGAGGCGCAGTCGGCCTTGCAACTATGCTATAGGCCTACACACGGGCGCGGCGAGCATTTCCCCAAAGAATTAGAGGCCCATGAAATCGGATGCACAATAGTGCGATCCTAACCATTTTGTACCTATGCAGCAAGGTATGAGACGGAGAGAACCCCCCCTGCTTTGTGTTGGTCATTGTCTCGCAGGAATCTGGGGAATTCCTTTCAGACATCTTGGGGGGATGTGTTAAGTAACAATAGTCTGGGTATATGTACCTGAAGTCTGTTGTGCTGGTATAACGATTATAGTCCTACTTCAACACGTGCCTATAAAACTGACGAAAATGTAAATACATTTACATACATGTAAATACATCAATTTCACTTTCGATAGGCCCTATTTAAATCTATTATGACAACAACTGACCAAGGGTATGGGAAACCAAAGTGGAAAATCCAGTTCATGTATTGATCTTTACTTGTTCGAATCTAACGCCAAATGGTATACTGTGAAAATTATGACGGAGACGTGCGTGCAAACGAGTTCCTTCAGCACCTGCTATCCTTCGCCTGCATCTGTACGCGTAACTAATGCAGAGAATCATCAGCGCTTAATCCTAATAGTGGATTAAGACAATACCGTTTTTGTATTTAATTGCCGATTTTCAGAGAGAAAGTAAAAGGCACAGGTACCATTCCCGAGTGACATAGCGCCATAGAAAAATAAACGAACAAGAATCGCTCACGGGTGTTTTCAAAGAATGATTGATGTCAACTTGAATAGCCAACTAGTACATTCGACTTTTGAGTCTGGTCGTAGTTTTGTCTTACTTGAAACTTGACTTGGATTGACGGGGGGACAATGACCTGTGACTTGACTTGCACACATTTGTCTTTTTACATGATAGAATTTTGTTGAAATAAATATATGAAAAAAATAAAATGTTTCTTTGACTTTCTGTTTGCAAAAAAATAGTTGGTTTTCGTCACACTGAGGTTTTATCATTGATTACCATCTGAGGTCACACAATCCCTAAAGGATGGCTGAAATACCAGTTACGACGTAAGGTAGGCTGAAAATAACTTCGGACTTGACTTCAAAAAAATGACTCTGGGTTTTGCTTGACTTGGGGAAAATTACAATGTACTTAGGACTTCATTTGACTTAAAGAACAATCCTAATAGCTTGACTTGTAGGAAAAGTGACTTTGGACGTGACTTGTTTTAATTTATCAAAAAACTGGGCCAAAAGAAAAAACGGACCAGAGAACGAAAGACATGCTGTAGCTAGACACCAGTTTTCTGATGTCTAGGTAATAACAGAGTTGTAGATCCGCTGCCACGTCGGAGCTGCAGGCTCACATAAATCCAGGATACATAAATTACCGGTATTGTCTGGTTGAATCGTGTAAAACTAGTCTTTGTCGTTCCATGAAAGTTCTCCTCAGACCCTGTGGGAGGGGGCCAATGGAGTCGTGCCATAGGTCCATCTTCATTTGATGCAAACCACATGTATGGGTTAGAGAGACCCCCGGCCTTTGTGATGGTAGTTTTTGGTACTGATATACGTCTAGGGGATGTGTTAAGTAACAATAGGCTGGAGTGTGTATAAGAATTGGGCTTGTTGGGGGGGGATACCCCTCTGTCCCATTTCGTGCCTGGTATATCCATCTTTGTCAGTGAATCAGCCTTTCATTTCGTTAAGTTACTTGGTTAGACACTAAGGGATTTTTCTCAAGGCTTTTTGCACGCATCACAGTAACAGCATGTAAAGACACATTTCAATCTCGTTTTTCCACTGGATCCTAGGTCAGGCCCACTTTTCTTTCCCAGTATTCGTATTAGAGACACACATAGCGACGTCAAACTTTAGCACTAAAATCCCAAGAGAACAGATGGCACAGACCAGTCCTTCGTCTGCAGACTGTGTCGGAGATGCAAAGTGCCGAAAAATCCATTATTTTGTCATAAGCCGTCAATAATCCTAAAGTCCATTCACTGCCAACGCTTCTACAAATACAGTCTGTTCCACTGCGTTGCGTGTTTCCAGCAATAACACCCAGGACTCGAACACTCAACATCGGTAATTACAATAGTAAAGTCCCCAAACGTGGCTTACTTCATCTCTCCCTAGACTTTCTTCACACAGCGCTGCCAAACCTCTTTCTTGATAAATTTGAAATTCCCAGTAAGATTCATGGTGTCGAATCCTTGTAAACAATTTCAGTTTCAAAACCGTCAACGTCCAGAAACTGGACTCGAACTCAGCTGAGTGTTCCTTAACGGGCTCACTTGAAAAGAAAAAATCTCCAAAAATCCCACACAAACATTTACAAAATCATTTCAAGTTGATAAATTCTTGTAAAGAATCATTACTGCCACTCAAATACCCATCTACAAGTTTGTCAGAAAATCCTTTTCATAGTTTTGGTCTTATTTATAACATTTCATTTCGCACGTCGGAAAAAATCTGGATAATCGGGCGAAAATAAAATTTCATCCAAACTTTGTATTACGGTTTATTCGCCAAGGCTTTCTTGAAAAAGGTCAAGTCCCCGCCACGTTCCATCATGTCCATGCTCGAATAGTCCATCCGTGACGTCATTTACACTTGTTATTTACAGAGAGACCCGCTCGCCAGCCGGGGTAGTGGTGGCTGACACCAGAGTAAGCACAAGGAATCACGTGATGGCTAAATGAATGCTCTGTGTAAGTTTGACTTGCACGTGTAAGCTAATCGAACGCACCCTGTATGCGCCGTAGTCTTTTGTAATGCAGATCAGTGGTCGTGGCTGAGTACAGCAGGAAGTTGAGCACTTACCGACAAACAACATGTTATAATAATGAAAAAGTACCGTGCAAGCCCACGAGGATACGAAACCCTGAAGTTCAAACTGGGCATGTAAACACTGCTTCATGAGCATAATGAAACGAGCAACTGCCTATTCGCGGAGTCCGTTTTATGTCAGTGCACAGTTTGATCAGGACCCAGAATGTATGTGTAAAGCATTCTTAAATGAAAAGTACACGACACATTGAACTTCATTTTAACAATCGTTGATTGAATTGGAGGGCGGGTAGAATTACTTTGGGGACAATTTCTGTCCAAGATTGATCAGTCCCAAAAAGAAGTACTGAAGCTCATCGTCATTAAAAGAAAGTAAATTGATCTGATTCGACGTGGACGTTGCAGAATGCAGCATTTTAAAAAAGATGCAACTTTCTTTCGGAGGGGATTTTTAATTTAAAAAAAATCCACACCATTTTAAAGAATAAATTACCTGGACTTAACATCAGGACTAACCGCGACTGAGGCGCAAGGAAGATCGTCGTATGGCTGTGGTGAAACCAAGACCGATTTTTGAGCCGTAACAAATAACATCGATTGTGAAAAATGGATGCGAGTCCACTTTTTTCCCACAGGGTAAAGTTCACGGCCTGCAATCAGTGATAAATCGGATTTACTCTGAATAACATTGGAAACAGCCTGTTGTCCAACACGTTAATCTAAAGTAAAATAAATAGCATTTCATCCAACCAGACAACATAGAATAATTGTAGTAGTTTTCACGTTCGAGTAGAATACGTGCATCTTACTACTGCATCTCACTCCTGCGTGTATTCCCTCCAGCCTCATATGAGCGCGAATTAAAGGACCTTCGTCAATACCCCCGCCCTGCCTACTACACATAAGTACGTGAACAGCCCGAGTCCAACGTCCTTTCCAAAGTTGAAGTTGTTGATTCTTGTGACATTACTGGCAGCGGCTCTACTTTTAATTACACCAAAGTGCTCCGGGCACGGGTCAAATGATAACGAATATTGCAGGGGGAGTAGTCAGTCACTTGAACTTCAACGTCATTGTGTTTTTCTATTAACATTTATGATAAGTGTGATACATAAACTCTAAAAGTCTGAAAACCGGTTTACTTGCTCTTTTTACTCGTCCTTTATCAAATATCCTTCGCGGTCTGGATTGTATGATTTAACTGTACTCTGTAACAACGCAATGCGCGCTAGAATTTTAGTGAGTTGGGTCAATTATATTGATGTGTAACTTTTTCACTTGCAAATTAGAAAAGGCATTTTTTGTTTGAACTAAATCCAATACTGCCTTGAATATTGGGGATTGCAAAATCAGGGCTATCCCCCAAGTATTCAACCTCGCCGAAGATCAGTACAAACTAGACTGTGATTGGCCAGCTTTCTAAAATGCTTCCGCCAATACCGAGGTGGTGCATCGCGGGAAGGGAGGGGGGTTGGTAAGTTCCACCCCACCCCTGGCATGGTGCCATTTTTTCTGACTTTATTCATTAATTGATATTTACTTTCTGAAAACTCCAACACTTGAGCAAACAGTTCTACCCTTTCTCAGGGAGTGAGAATTCTTTTATTGGTGAAAATATTAACTGTCCTCCCCCCCCCAAAAAAAATCGCCATCTCCCTATCCCCTCCCAACCCTGAACCTGGATACATTATCGAGTGGGTGACCAATGCATGTACATGAAAGGGAGAGAGGCATTTAAATATTTCCTAGCCGAGTAGGTGGTGGCATTCATTTATACTGTTGGGTCAGGTAACGTGCAACTTCATGTGTGAAGTAAATGTACATATCTGTCTACATCGAGTGCTTGTAGTATTATTGTCTTGGGTCCTGTGATTTCACTAGTCTTGGGCAACATGCTAATCAAGGGCATTTTACTAAATAAGAGCCATATTCTGTCCCACAGAAACAAGTACAGCGTGTGGAGGCAGTCTCGTACGATTCACATTGAATATGGGATAGAAAACTCTCCACCTGATACATATTCAGCAAAAAACCTCGAACTAATCAATTGTTATGCTGCAATGGCTTGATTTATTTCTTACAGGCAAGACATGATTGCCACTTACCAACGAATTTTGGCAAAATACAACAAAGCAGTTGTCAACTGCTGAAATGAGAACCCTCAAAGACACCAGACACCCTAAGCTTTGCCTCAGGCGCCGTTGTGTTGCTTACAGTATGAGAAAAGGAACTGGCTCACACCACAGCAGTCAACAAATGTTAAATTTATCCTTAGACATTGACACATGTACATGTACAACAGGTTTAACATGCATTGTACATGTACTTCATACTGTTGAACTTTAAGGTCCGCCCCACTCCCGAAAAAAACTTATGTCCAAGAATGCCAGCATTGACACACAGTACACTGCAAATTTCAAACGTTAATTATCAGCTCATTAACACAAATGCGAAAGACACAACAGACTAAGAAGACCCAATGTGTGAACCAGTTGTATAATTTCATTACTTTGTTCGGCAGAATTTTAAAGGACTGTCACTGAGAAAGGTCAATGCACATGTACATATAGAGCCTGGCCACTATCATGCGGCTTGGTGAACAAAATTTACGCCCATATCAGGCTGTAAATGTATAGTGTACAGTTGGCAACTTGGGAGGACTTTCCAAGGGCTGAAGGGAGTCAGGGCCAATGTCTGTATTACATTCACATAATGTATTTGTTACAGCAAGCCATTGTTGATTTTAACATGCACATTTTTCAGTGCGAAGCACACGCACACATACATGTAAAATGTACATGTATTTACCTGAACAATTTACAGGATTCCAACTGAAAAGTTTTAATAATAGAGGGTATGCACGGCTCCTATCTTGCAGGCCAGTGCTTTTGTTCCACAGGGTATGCACAAAGGCAGTTCCCCTGCAGAACAAAACAACTGCCCTGCAAAATGGCTACCGTGAAAAGCCTCTATTGCCAATTTGTTTAAACCAAAATGCACATTTATTATAGCCACAGGCATATTTTTCACACAGTGTTAAACACAAGATTATTTTTTTCTCATTAATTGCTCAGGCTTTTAGCCACATTTTGTACTTAAATAAAATATTCCCCATTTGATAACAGTTTATCTGAATGCTTAAATTCAGAATTTAATTCTTGAGTTTAGAAACAATAGCAGTTCAGACACGCATAATTACTACATAAACCAAGTAAAAAACAAACGTTAGCAAAGAAAAAAACAATCGCTTATCAAAATAAATTGCTTGTCACAAAAAACTCTCAAGTATCCTTAGAAGACATTTTAATAAAACATTATGTATCAATCCCTTCCCCCCACCCCCCAAAAATGTGTTTCTAGTAAAGCACAAGGAAGTTTTATTTTTTCTTTAACAAATCAATGAAAAATATTAACCCTTGCTGTGCACACACACAACCTTACTTTGGGTGCATCATTCTGAAATTTGGGGGTTTGGTTTGAATTCTTTTAATAGGTTGGTTTGAAAAAAAAGTGGCCTGATATGTTATTTCCCCCACCATCTGCCACCTCAATTTGTATACAGGGTCATATTGGAGAGTCTGAGTCACTTTTTTTTAATTAACATGATTAATGTAATAGAACAAGCAACTATTTTTAGCCCATCATTTGACAATTTTCTTCTCCTTATTCTCAAGTAGACAAAAGATGTACTAGATTTGAGGGAGTGTTGGGCTTTCTATGATTTCTGAATTATCTCCATAGTACTGCATCTGTGGTTGCAATCAGTTCATCTGTGTGATTGGTCAATCTCTGACCAGTTGGTCAATCTTTTTTGGTAGCGATGCAACTGTAACGCTTGCTTTTCGAGTCGTTCGTGAACCAGCGATGTGCAGTTAGTTCCAAAGGAGCCTCTGTTGCTAAGGAAATAGCGCCCTCTCTTGGTCCAGCTTGAGGCCCCACACACAAGCTTGTTCTCGAACAGCTTGATTTGCTGTATGTGGGTTGGCCGCTCAAATGTCGGGAACAGACAACCAGTTATTGCTGGTATTTAGTGGCAAGCAACATGCAACATGGCGTTGTATGGTGTTGTGGAAATAACTAATGTTAATTTCACAACTTCCCTTTGTCTCTGGCTTTGTAAGCCATCTCTCTACTTTTTGCGGCTGTTCAAAAATCAAAATCTCACGAGTTTTTCTGTGTGTTCCAGTAAAAACCTGACGAGGTGGTGTGAGATCCTGTTCTGAGAACAGTGTTCTTGAGTTGTGTTCCTGCTGCTCGAGTGCGAGAAGAAACCCATGTCAAGAACGGGCCACCTGAACTCAACCACAGTGTACGTGATATCCGACTAATCACAACACAAAAATGCCCTCAACTATATGCAACTACATGTATACGATACACTACACAATAATTTGCCTGCTGCGTAGGAGTCCCTGGTGTTTTGTACACCTGAGGGTGCCATTTGCCACCTTGGATGGATAAAACATCATAGAACCCTACACAGGAGGTAACAACTGTAGAATGTATACCGTCATGCACATTGTGTTATGACCTTTGTGTAGTGATGCACGATGCAAATTTCAGCAAAAGTGATGCATTGAATAAGTTAACCTCTCTGATTTACTTGACTTTCTTGGAGCTTTCCACTTGTTGTTTCTTGGCAAGGTTCTCAAAGAATAAGAACGCGAAATGACCTAATGCGACATCGCCAAAGAGCTTGGAGATGAAGTGGCCACTGACCTCGGTGAAGAATTCGCTGTAGTGGGGAAGGTGGAGGTCCATCACCTTGAAAACGACAAAATTAACATAGGTCAGGCCGCACATGAAGAGGGCAAAGTTGTTGCCCTTGCAGGGGTATTGGCGGTTTGTGGCAAAGCCCGTGCTGGCGGTATGGACCGAGTGGATGACCAGCGCGATCTCAAAGCCAAATTCCGTAAAGAACACCAGGTTGTAGCTGAGGATGGAGGACAGCATGAGCATGGCCGTCACCTCTCGGTTCCAGCCGACCGTCAGGGCCTTGCACCACAGAATGGCCCAGGCGAAGAATGGCAGCGTCACCCACTGGTCCAGGACGGCGCTCTCGTGTGTCTGGCTGATGATCCGCCAGAATTGGACAGGGCCATACAGGATGCACATCCAGGCAAACGTGTAGGCAAAGTACGCTTGGAGTTCCCCTACCTCCCCTCTCCTCCGGGCCAGGTAGGTCCGCAGCACCCAAGCCAAGCCCACCAGTGAGTAACCGGCATTCACCAGGGCATTCAGGGGCATGGCAAATCCCATCCATGCAGGTAGCTTGAACGGGCCAATTGCAAAATCAGCCTTTTCGCCATAGTGCTCATGCCCGAGGTCTACCTTGGCTGGGCTGAAGATGCCCTGAAAGACAATGATGACCATGAGGGCTGTGCACCCAACAACTGTAAGAAGGGTACTTATGACCAGCATCTTGAATTTTGTTTCTAGTGACCTGAAATTACAATAAAAGAAATCCAGTTAAATCCAGCCTGGAGTGCGTTCAAGCCTCTACCGACAACTGTTTGCTGAACGGTGTAAGTACATGTATAACGATTAGCTTTGAGCAAATCAGGTTGTGCAACAGACATTGCTCCATTCAGCAAACAGCCCAAGGCTCAAGTATAATGAACGGTGCACTGGCCAGTGTGCTGCTATGTCCCTGAACACTGGCATACATGTACCATCTGAAATGCTGTGACCATATGACAATGACATGGCAAGCTTCTAGCTCAACTACAGTCCGAGACTTTTTCAGCTTGAACGGGAAATGCCTCTTTTCTTCTCAAAGGTAAGTGAATTTAACCATCATCACTGGAAGTGAAATCTTAAAGTGGAAACGTTGGAAAGTGTCGAGACTATTAGGGCAGGGTGAAATCTGAGGATTTTGATTGGGGGCATGAGCTACATATTTCAAGTGAAACTACTAAGTAACGGCAAACAAGGTCTCTGGAAGTTTCTCTGGTTCTAGGACACTACTATTACCAAATCATGTCCAAACGTTTAGATTCTACATATAGTTTGGCTATTCAGAATACTGCAAACCATGGTTTATTAATTACAAATACATATATACAATACAAATTGGTCTTGATTTACAACGAGTTACATCCATGTACATGTACAATATGCACATCATGTATGCTCAACACATTGGCTTAATTCAACATTATACACCTACCTTGCCAGAAAAGGCGTTTAGCCTACAGCTGTAAAGCCATGAGTAATTGTGCATGTAGTTGTACATGTAATTTATTTGCGCTGTTCCTTACTGACCATGGGCCTACTGACATAAGCCTAGGCCCTCTTTTTTGCTTTTTGTCCTAGTATATGTGTAGCCACGACAAGTACACGCCTACTGAAATACAAAAAAATGCTTAAAACAGATCTAATATTAGAAACATTAGTGCCCATGAGCATGAATGTAAGGATAACAAGAAAACACACCTCTTAAAAGGCCGTACGATGTTCAGATGATAAATAAAAGCTCAGCAATCCCAAGTCCAGTTTTCGGTTCGCACGTCTCACCAAGCTTGACTCTCTTGGCGCGATCACAAGCGCCCTCTGTTGACAAAAGCTCTCTGCCGCGCCGCGCCCCGGGCCTAGGTAGCAGGCCGCGCCGCCAGGCCAAGCCTGCAGGTTGGGCCATTTTGTTGTTTGCTCGTTGCGTCGCGAGGGGGGGGGGCTGATAGTTTTGCACTGTGATTGGCTACGTTGTGCACAAACTGTGAACGCGAATCACTTCCTGTGAGAGAAGTGTTATTTATTTTTTGGTTCGCCAAATGGCAGTGCTTTGGCACCGGCAAAGTATCAGCTATGATTATGAAAATGGCGTTGGTACAATCAGAGTGTGGTATATTATTTTTTGTTTTCACTAAGTATCACAGATCACGTGTCTTTTGGCGATATATTTCAAGTCATTGGTTATTTTGATCATTTTGGATGAACGAATGGAGTGTAGTGAGAATACCGATGAGGAAAAAAGAAACAAATATCGAATTGATAACCACCGCTTGAAATTTACACACAATGCTCTGCGCGTCGTTAGCTATAACACCGCGTGACGTATTACCTTCACTAAAATGTCTACAAGGCTATCAGCCCTTAACAACGCCCTGCTCGGGTGCTGGGCGACCAGCGAAGCTTGGCTGTTGGTCCCCACAGGCGCAGCCACTTTTAAAGAAGGGAGATTACGACACATCAATACAGAGAAATAGAGATCCAGCGAAAAGGGCTGACTTTTATATTTCTCGAAAATTTCGAAAATTACAACCAAAACAAATGATACCTTCTGTTTAAAGGTTTTTGTACGGAAACTTAAATGACCATCCATGTTACCGCCTTATTGAGTTAATTTATCATTTAAACAGAGAAACATACGGATAACACTGATTTCAAATATAAATTATCCCTGAAACACGGAATACAAAGGTAAACGCTTTGTGGAAACACAGATTTCAACGATAACGTTTCTCTGAAACGCAGAATTCAAAGATAAGAGTATCTTGGAAACATGGAATTCAACGATTATGTATTTCGGAAATCCGGAAATCAATGATCATGACGTACATAAACTATTTCCAACGGAGACTCGGGTATTCACCCTTCGTGTTATGCAAACGATAAAATTGGAATGGAAACAAGGTGACTGGTAGTAGGTAAGGCCGTTTCCAGACCTAATTTGTGTTCGGGGCGGGGGTCAAACCTGTAAAGCAGCGTCTTCGGTGAAGTTTTGCATTGAATAATGGCACTAGTCAAAATGTAAAGCAGCTGCACAGACGCATGGCCCAGTTGCCCCCATCCACGTAATCACCCTCAATTGGGTCTGCTACCGTGCAAAGGCTATGCCCCATATACCAGTGCACCCTCTAAATGTTTATCACTGCATTCCGAGTTTCGGAAAAACATAATCTTTGAACTCCGAATTTTGGAGATATATATCATCATTGACTTCCGAAATACAGTATCGTGGAATTCCATGCTTCCAAGATTTGTTATCTTTGTCGTATGCATTTCAGGGATGTGTTATCATGGAAATAGGTGTTTCCACAAAGTGTTTAACTTTGTATTCCGAGTTTCAGGGATAATTTATCTTTGAAATCAGTGTTATCCAGTGTATGTTTGTCTGTTCCAACAATAAATTAACCCAGTAACCAGATCACATGGCTGTTCATTTAAGCTTCCGTATTTTTGTTTGCTTTCGGTAACTTAATTTTGGCTGCACCAAAATTTTGCCTTGAGAAAAAAATTATTTTCAAGGCGTGTACCCCCACAACACATTTTTATTTGTCATCGACTCTACCTCTCTCCTGCACTGTCTGATGATTGCTGATAAGAACCCACAATTTGGGGGGCTGGGAGAGGTTGGGGCTTATATCACTTGCTGGACGTTAGCTGTCCTTGTGGGTTTCTTTGGAAATCTGCAGTTAATGTCAAGAGTGGTTCTACAGCCGATTTCTTTTTTGGGGGGTTAGACCCTTAGCACATGACGTCACCTAACTTTTGGTACTGCGTTTCATTTTGCATTTTTGGGAGGAGCTACACAAAAACTTGGGAGGGGCTAAAGGCCCCCCCCACCGTGCAAAACGTGGCGTAGTGTACTCCTCGGGAGTAATTAGCAAAACTTATATCTTGACTTGATGGGTTTCTATCTGTTACTCTTGGGGTTCATCCATTTAATCACTTGTCTTGGTGTACTACTTAAGGCAACCAGAGTAGTGACAGCTATAGATTTAATATAGAATTAGAATGGGAAATTTTTCCAAGCCAGCGTACTTTTACCGAGCAAGATGCCTACTGCTCTCCTAAAAGGTGTATTTCTCTGCAAAATGCAGCCAGCAAAGCACAAACTTTCGTTCCACAGCAACAGACTGGGAGAAAACAGCTAACCCAAGTGCATGTGCTAAGTGCTCTTCAATTCGCTCAGGTAATGGCCTAGGTTTTTTATTACAGTACGCTAATCCAATCAGTCCCTTAAAACAATCAGAAGATAAAAACTGATTAATTATTTCAACCAAGATATCTCATTTACTGAATGTAAATTGTTCCCGAATAGCATCAGGTACGGTGCTACTTTTTGGGTGGTGAAGTGAACTTGTTTACGTGAAAAAAGCGTTTTCTGTCAACAGTAACCTTGCATAAATGGATTTGTCTGATGTAGCGCGTACAACACTGCGTGTCCAAGTCACGTTTCCTCTTAATATGATGGTGCACACCTGAAGGTAGGAAGTCAGTATGGTCCAAAGGAATGAGAATACGATTACTTTGTCGTTACTTAGAGGCTTTGTTCCCAAGTACTACTTGGGACATATTCTTTGCATTCTTAATAACAGTTCCCCTTTTTACTGTATTGCTTCTCACTGGAATTCGAAGGCTACGTGGTATAGTACCTGTTATCTGCTTCCCTCCTCAGACACTCTAAAAACTTCTGGCTCAGAGTGGAGTCCCTTGGGACCTGATCTTTTTCAAGGTCAAAAGAACATCTTAATCGGCAAGTGCGATTTTATTTCCTACATGAACGCGTGTGCTCCGGTCGACCGCAGCCAAGGTTAATAGATTCAGCTCTTGTTGTAAGATATCAGAATCTCTGCCAGTGACAGTATCATCAACTCTACATAACATACTTTGATGCATCCCAAATTGCTACAGTGATATTGTGCACAGTGCGGATAAGATTTCCTGAAATGCAGATAACTTTTAACACGTCTCCTCCGGTGGCCGTGAGGCACGTACAATGCAATACAATGGGAAAAAGGCAGGCCTATATGACGTTTATTAATACCAGGATAAAAATGGGGGGAAAACCTCCATGCATGCGCAGTGAAAAAACGCTGTAAAAGACAGGCAAGAGAGAAAAGTATATATTTAAAAAGAATAATTGCTCCAGAAAGATTTTATTTATCAGCAGGTACCAACGGAGAGAGCATTTTCTATTTTGTTTGAGGGGCGAATAGGACAAGCAAGGAACCGCTTCAGGAATACAGTCTGAGAACGTCAATTCTTCTTGCTCTTCGATTTCTCAGAAATTAAGAATGAAGTTAGCTCTTCAGATTGCAAATTTTTTTACTTGGACTGGCCTGTTCTTGCTTGCTTCTCTCGTCGGTTGTTGAACACCAGTGTCGACAGATAACTGTGCTTTCAGAAGACGCACGCGTCTCTCACGACACTGGTACGACTACAAATGCTGCTTCTCGACGCTGCAAGGGTTTGATCATTGATGAACATAATGTTTACAAATTACCGTCCACCATTGTTAATATTGCAAGACTATTAAAAGTGAAGAAGTAGTGTGTTATAGTGAAAACTAACGTTTTGACCAATTTGTACATTGTAAAAACGTTGGTCAAAAGACTCAGTGATCCAGATGTTGGTCTTTTTATTTTAGATTTCGGTCATTTTCTATGATTTACCGAACAGTTGCGTGGACACCTGGTGACCAGAAGTTGCGAAGTTGATATTTACACCACTGGGGCCATGGTTGGTTAAATGTGCCTAACTTTTCTTACGGTATAAAATAGGCCTAACTGCTTTTGGAATTTCAATGGCCAGGCAATTTTTTCCTTTTTTTTTTGAGTAATTCCCCCTCCCAGTCCCCGGCACAGATAAACTCGATTGCTTGTGTTCCTTCATGTCCGAATAACACACTGCGTTGGAATAGAATGGCCGAGCCGGGCTGTTCATTGGCTAAGGAAGATTTGACCATGCTTAGGGTAAGGGATAACGTTTAGAATATTTCTGAAACCATTCCACCAGATTTCCACAGCTCCATTCATCAGTTGGAGGTCCGTCTAGCTGGAGGCCGTTACCCGAACGAGGGCTGTTTGGAGTTCCATTGGCCTCCCACCCAAGTCCAGTGGGGAACCTACTGCACAGACATCGAGGAACCGTATAGGGCGGCGTCGGTGGCCTGCCGGGAACTCGGCCATCCGGCGGCGTACTCGGTTTCGGCCACTTCCCCGTTTGGTCGGAGCACTGGTCCGATATGGTTTGACGACATACATTGCAGCGGGGACGTGCTGGTGAGTCGTGGAAAGTTGGAAGAGTGTTCGCTGCAGCCATGGCAGCTGGCTAATGATACTTGCGACCACAGTTGGGACGTCGGTCTGGTTTGTTACACAGGTACGAATGCACGTACATGAATAATGAGGAGGGATTGGCCAGTTTCTTTGTGAGAACGAGGGGTCTTTACTGCTCACTCGTTTAAACACCCTGAATCACTGTCTTTCAAAAGTATGCTGTATTTTAGCATTCCAAACCACGTAAACAGAAACATTGCTCATCATGGGCGAAACTGCACGACCCTACCAAAATTGCATTTTGACGAAAATGCGGTGTGTTTTACCTGACCCAAGGGAGCACGCTGTGCAAATAACAGCGCCTCAAAACTTGACCTCAGGACTAAACTGTTAGATTTCCATGGATAAAGGTAACCCATGATGTCCAAAATCCTCTCATTTAGGACTTTCGCATATTTTCACACACAGGGAGAAAGGATTGTGGAGTCATGCAATCGAGTTGCCTATTGATTAATGTCAATCAGGCCTACATCGAAATC